TAAAAAATTGAGAGTGGATTATTTGTGCTATCGTGAACTTTAAAATATTCAATATAAAAAAATTAAAACATATGTTTAAATATATCAATTTTAAGAAATTTATTACATTGTATACTTGCATAGAATGTGATATCAAATCCTCAACTTTCAATTTTGAGACAATTCTTTTGGTAAACACAAAAACGAAATGTGTCGTGCTTGTAGATGACATTGTAGTGCCATTCCCAAGCGTACGCGGATCTTTTATAAATCTGAGATACACATTCTTCCTTTGTATTCTTTGAATTTCAATTAAATAAATAATAAAATAAAGACGAGTGATTGGGAATTAATTAACAACAAAAAATTGCACGAGTTCTCTTACTTTATTAAGAAGCTGTGTGTGTAATGCATGAATAAAAACTCAGTTTTTTATTTAAGTAAAAGTAAAATCTTATATAAACAAAGCAAGAACTATACTAATTAGAATTGAAAGATTTACAAGGTAATGATAGCGATTAACTTATAACATCGACACAAGGCTCGACTAGCCTTTACAAAACAGGGCACAAAAAATGGCGACTCTTTTATAAGCTAGCTATTGCCAATCGTCGCCGCATGAAACAGAACGATGTAGTACGTCTCCAGAAGAAAAAGCCACGACGAGGGTACAACCCTTGCTTCGAAGCTGCCGGAGAGTGCGAAGTGCGTAGCCGCTACGTGGTTACAGACAACTCGGAGGACTGGTATGTCCTCTTCCAAGGCTGCAAATGCCCAGGCCTTAAGACTGGAGTGGCTGGCACACACGCACATACTCGGTGAAGCGTGAATTTGTCTTTACAATTTTACTTGTAAGACAGGATACGTGGACGATTTCGTCGAGCATAATTTTCGCACACTGGGCATATTTGCATGACAGCGAAGAGCGCAGTCACCCGACAAATGACGTAAAGAGTAGTAGAGAAAATCTCATCGAGCAGTCTACTCACAAAGGTTGTTGAGAGGACAACTGACTCATATTTTCTCATTTTTCGAGAAAAAAAAATTGGAGAAAACACTCTGTTCATTCGAAACCATTCGCGGGAGTTCAATGGGCGACTTGAAAGGACGGAGCGACACTGAGTCCTCGCGGATACCCCGCGGTTAATTGTGAGCGGTTAACCTCGTGTTCCGTAGGTTTATTGCTTAGCACATCTGGAGCGGACATGATTTCTTTTAAAAGTGCAAGGGTAATTTTTTCAGATCGACGAAGGGGTTTTCCAAGGTAAGATTGGGTTTTCCCGGAATGTGTCGAATCAGGAAACACGCGGATTTGCGGCCAGGTGCTCTCAATGATCACGCGTGTTCCTCTCGGTGGGCATTCTCTCTCTCTCTCTCTCTCTCTCTCTCTCTTGCCGGGAGCGCAATGCCACGAACACTGGTTTCGAGCTTCTCTGCAGTCCAGAGTAACCATCTTGCCACGATTGGTTTAATGATCTCAACACATTTCCGAGTCTCCCGTAGTGGCGTGGAAATTGATTCGTAATTGATCGGATGTATAAATTTTATAAAAATTATTTTATAAGCCTTCTACAATATTCTTTTTCGCGTTGGGATTTCTTACTCGTGTCTAAATATATATTGGTTTACTTCAGTCTTTCGTTTCATTTAGTCATCGACTTTAGTGACTCTTAATATTTGAATCCCTGTAAAAGAAAAGATTCTCGTCATATACATTTAAAACAATGAATACAGAGTCTTATTTAAACATTTAGGTACTGTCATAATGTATTTCTCACATAGACACTTGGCATTTAAATCCTTATCTTTACCCAGCGGAAAAGAACATCTTCGTAACAATTGCATGTCGCGCAATATTTATGAAAAATTTATTAGAATCGGATGGCGTATTTTTTATGTAAGATACATTTTTGCATTAGAAATTTTCGTGATACAGCTACTATGAGTTAGGAAACGATAGATAATACTCGAGTTGCTCAACGAGCACTGTAAATCTTTAAGTAGATACTTATCTTCGAAACTCACGAGTTCGATATAGGCTACTTGTTGATTTCCTAGTTGAATGTACATTGTATATATCTGATTGTGCGATGTCTTTTTACCGCGAAGAATTAATTAATGTCAATTGCCATAATGGCTAAAGTTTAATGGTAATATTTAAGTTATAGTTTCATAGTCATACAGTACAATTAGAAAGTACAAATCTATCTGTATAAATTGTGATCGCCGTCTCAACCATACCCCAACAAAGAATTTTAAAATTTACTGCATTTCTAAAAAACTTTTCGAATCAGTAAAATCATTCTTACAATTAGAGTGAGCAATTTTTTTCATATTGAATTAATAACATTTTCCCGTCAAGAAAATTTTTATATAAATGTAGCAAAATTGGAAAATCTATCTTACTCCTAGCTACAAAAAAAGAATGATCCTCAACCATACCCGTATTCAGAATCATCTTTGATATTATTGCTTTCATCTGCAAATCAAATAAAACTTTCGTTGTCAGGAATCGTGCTCGTTGTGTATTATCCATCGTCATTAAGACTATATGTATGGATATATGTACGTGCGTGTGTGTGGGCGCGAAATGTAATGGCATCGCGGTTAATTACTGATGCGCAGCTTGATGTTAACGAGAAAGCGGCGATGTTGGTCGCACGCATGGTATTACTTCCGCGTGAATGGTGAGAGCATTGTCATTCGTTACGTGTTTGCCGACAATTTTCCGATTGAAACACAAACGTCCAGGCTGTCTCTTTCTTAACTACGTTTCATTTCCTCTAACTCTGTTTTTTATCTCTCACAATTGATTTATATTGAAAAAGGAGATGTGTAACATTTGGGGGTGGGAAATTGGATTATTTATAATTTAGGAATTGAGCTATCCTTCAAAGAGATTATTGAAATATTTATCGATTAAGTAGGCGTTTTCATGAATGTAAATTTGTCGATTTACTTTCACTGTCAAAAGTGTTATTTATATTGCTGTACGTTTTGTATCGCGTTCCGCATTATATTCGACAGTTCGTAATCGATCGATCGTTCATTCAACTTAAATTTAATCAATTGTATATAGACACTACAAATATAGCGAATTTCTAGAATAAAAACCTAGAATATTACAAGCTTAAAATCCGAAAAAATTTCCAATTGCGGCTTACCGAAAGCGAGCGCGCGTGGAAAAGCAATTTCCATTCAAGTACCAACTCAATAGAATGTAGTATTTAATGAAAAAAATTCCTAGCGTCGGAAATCAAATCAATCTTGCACCAACAAGCCAGTCGAAGGCACTTGCAATCTGAGTCGAAATGAAATTTCTCGAGCTAATTCACAGCCGCCGTCGCTTTTCACTCGTATTCTTCTGCAAATGTAAAACACGAATCTGGCATTAGCTTTTGCAAGGGTATTACGACTATTGGAGCGAGTAGCTTGTCCGCGTCGGTTGCTGCTACATATATAAATTCAAAGGATATGTACACGGCGAAAACGAGTGAAGCGATGAAAGACTGAGTTTACCCCTGCGTTAAAAGATGCTTTGAATTTGCAGGCTTGCAAATCTGTTTATCTAGTCGTGCATACTTTAGAAAATTCAAGTTTCATGAAGATGATTACTTCTTTTAGTTTGGATATTTACGCTCTTCTCATCGTCATATACACTGATCAAACAAGTTATGCTTCAAGCAAATTCATTTATTTTCAAATATTTAGTTAAGTAAAAATTGCAATTTCAAAATGAGTAGCGAGCTACTAAACCATAACTCGATGACCACTGAGCGAGCTTTCACAGCCTGATTTTTATAAGTCCAAAATAAATCTAAAATCTTTAGAGACGACGCATGCTCAATATGTAATCACTTTCATTTTTCGAGACCGTTGTGAAGTACTTTTAATATGAGGCAAATCAATAGTAAAATTCGTTGACTTCACTTTGGTACTGTAAAATTTTTGTTGGGTTAGTAGAATTTATTTTGACGAGTTATTTTGTCGAGTGGTCGTTCACACGTATCACTTATCATACATTATTGATGTGGGTAGTAGAAAATAGCTAAGGATGGGATCGATTTCTCGCGGTTTCTACATATTTTTTTTCAAGGTAGTTTTGTGAACAAGATATTATGAAAATGTGTAACGGTTACCTATTTGTTTAGCAATGCGAAGCTTTCAATTCCATTATATAATTGAATAAGCACTGCTTCATATGTATGAATAAATTAGTTTGAATAAGTGTTAGTTTGAGATAACAATAATTAAAATATCCTGTCGGAGAACCTATAACTCGATTGACCATACAGTCCACGCGGTCGTTCATAAAAGTCATGAATATGACTAATGGCTAATTTCTATAAACGCACTCACGCAATAAATTAAGACGATTCTTGCGATGTAACAGAAAGCACTAAAATAAGGAGGCTCCACTTTGTTCTCTTTGTGCTAAAAAAAAAAGAGAATGAGAGAAAAGAAACGCCTACCAAGGATAAATTCCGTTGAAGTAAAAAAAATACAAAAAAAGAAAGAAAATAGGTTACGCCCTTATTGCGTAGCTTTTGTTTCTCTCTGCTGAGCTGTTGTTACAAGTATCTTTAAGGCAAAGTGGAATTTCCTCTCTTGCGTGCTAGCATCGATTTCAATACAAAGTTATGTTGGTGTTTTGGAAGGAGAGAAAGAAAGAAAACGGAAAAGCCATTACGTAATATAAAAGGCGGGATTTTATGTTTTCATCTTGAGAGCAGGCAATGAAAAATCTTGGTAATATATTTTCTCTTTGAAATTTGTCGTAAAAATATTTTGAATTTCTTGCGGTGAAAAACATTGTGGAAAAATTGTTATGGATGATAAATGATACAAGAATTATAATCGTTTATCAATCTGTCAACGCCATTGAATAATCATTGCACTATACATCAATTTCAATCGCAACGGAAGTCTCAACCTAAAAAAACATGATAAAAGCTACGCGCATAATCAAATTTCTCGGCGCTAATTATTGAATCCTTAATTCCGAATTCCGTTTGTTTTAGAGTATTAACCAGACGGACGAATCAGGCGAAGAGCTTCCAGCGGAGATTGCAGTCACACTACTGTCGCAGCTTATAGTTGGTACGTAACTTGACAAAACTTACCTTTTAGCATCGATCGATCGTATCCTTACCTTAGTCATATTTTATTTTTTCCTATCTCTCGAGAAATGATAAACAAGAAAAACGGCTTTGATCCAAGTTCGAGAATAATAACATGGTAAGCGAGAGAGGTGTGACCTCGATTGATCGGTTATATTTATCACGCGAGGAGAGTTGACGAGTAACAGTTTATTATTAAAGCACGCTTACAGCATTTCATTTTAGTTACATCTATTTATAAATCGAAAAATAGAGATCTAATACTTTCCGGGAAGTATGTGCTGGGTCAATTTTTTTATGTGCAATGAGGCACATTGAGTGATTAGGTTGATTATAATCAAGGCTGACTACTTAATCTAATATGTTTACTTTGCTTTTTTTAGACGGGAAATGTAGAAAAGGCAATTATTCGGATTGATTTTTTGCAGATACTTTGCTATATCAATTTCATTTAGCGATTCATTACCATGTTTGTTATAAATACATTAATTCTGAAACAACTATTATAAAAGTATATAATTTAACCACGAATAACTTGAATTTTTCAGTAATTTTTTGTATCTTCGTCTATTTCTCAACAATAATCGTCGTCAAATTTATAATTCTATAAGAGCATTCGATACATTCGTCGTATCATAAAATTACTAAATATCAGTACACTTTGAAAATGATGCAAAGATAATTAAATGAACGGTTATTGATCTCCTTCTGTATTCCTCTTCTCGAAAGAAAAGTTACATAAATCTTCTTGCAGGTGTATTGCTGGTATTCCTAATCTTCTTCTCGGTGGCCGGTAACATTCTTGTAATCGCAGCGATATGCACAGACCGAGCACTCCGTCGGATAGGCAATCTATTCCTTGCCTCGCTGGCGGTAGCCGATTTATTCGTCGGCTGCCTTGTCATGACATTTGCTGGGGTAAACGACCTACTTGGTTATTGGATTTTCGGCTCGGGTTTCTGCGACACTTGGGTCGCTTTCGACGTCATGTGCAGCACTGCATCAATACTCAATCTTTGCGCTATATCGCTCGATCGGTATATTCACATTAAAGATCCTCTCAGGTGAGCTCACATAGATATATTGATTATTATGTTTACCTTCGACAAAAATTGTATAAAATAAATTATACAACTGATTTAAGTAAGAGTATGTACAATAAAAAAATCTAGAATGCCGTTGAATTCTTGAAAAATTCGTTTAGTTTTAGAAAGAATATTATTAATATACGTGATTGAAGAAACAATGAGATACAAATGTATTTATTCAAACAACTTTTTTTAATAAATGCAAACATAACTTTCAAGACAATTTTTTTTGTATAAATTCATCAACCCTTAAGAGTTGACCTCAACATAGTTGATTTTTTTTCAATATATTTATAATTATGAAGATTGAATACAATACAACATACTCATCGATAATTGATGTATAGAAATATCGCGAAAAAGAAAATTTCAATTTAGAATTCGGTTATAATGGAGTATTCTATGTGTTCTATAGGTACGAGAGGTACGTGACGAAAGGTGTCGCTTGGGCGAGCATACTGACGGTTTGGATGATGGCCATACTCATATCGTTTTTGCCTATTAGTCTCGGTCTGCACAGGCCAAACGAACCGCCGATAGAACATATCGTTGGCAATATGGTAAGTTCAAAGACGCTTGCTTGCTTAGTGAATTTTGCGGAAAATCCGGCAATACTCATTTTATTAAATCAAGTACCTCCGTCGGGAATAAGAAGGAAAAAAGAATGCAAGCTTGTGAAAGTGTCAGGCTGACTAACTCGATTTCCGCGTGAAAAGCTTTCAAGCGCACATCCGCCGCAGACTAAAAACTTTTTTGGCCATTAATTACTTTTCCGCTGAACTTAAAAGCTTGCTTATCTTGAGGGTGCTATTAACGGACAGCGACGCGTACTTGTTCCTGCAGCGATATTTCAAAGTATCGTACTTTCATCCAAAGCCAAAATAACTTTTGTTTTTTCCAGTCATATCCGACGTGCGCATTAGACTTGACGCCGACATATGCAATAGTGTCGTCATGTATTTCCTTCTACGTGCCGTGTATCGTGATGATAGGCATCTACTGTCGCCTCTACTGTTACGCTCAGAAGCATGTGAAGAGTATAAGAGCAGTGACGAAATTGCCCGAACCATCGTCACTAACGAAAAGCTTTCGTTCCAAGAGTAAACGTATTAAAAGTCCCAAACCACAGACCAAGTGTAAACCTACGAGCCCTTATCACGTGTCGGATCACAAGGCAGCGATAACCGTGGGTGTTATTATGGGTGTATTTCTCATCTGTTGGGTGCCGTTCTTTTGCGTCAACATCGTCATGGCTTTCTGCAAGACTTGCATACCTGATTTAGCATTTCAGGTATTTCTTTTCTTTGCTTTGTTGTTTCTTCATTCATTGATCACTCTATCGATTGCAGATCCTCACTTGGCTGGGCTACAGTAACTCGGCCTTCAATCCGATCATCTATTCGATCTTCAACACGGAATTCCGCGAAGCGTTCAAGCGTATACTGACGAAAGGTGCGCGCGGTCGCTACAATCAGCCGTCGACGAGTGAATGTGGTGAATTTCGGTCAGTGGTGGTAACCAAACGCAACGGATCAATTGTCGAGTGTAACATTAGTCCACGCTCAAGTGCCGACAGTTGTCAAGTTGGTCCTCTTGGGCAACGCCATCGCGACACTATTGTTAGCGCTATCTAAAAGACAATCATTGTGTGTACATATATTATCGTATAATGCATTTTATTGAAGATTGGACATATCTATTGAATGCACCACAGAGACTCTTAAGTACTCTATCTATCTAAAGGCTGATGTGTACAACCTTTTAATTTTTTATTGTTTAAAAAGTAATAAAACGTTATTCAGCGAACAAATTTACATATCAATCAAGTTTCTGATCACCATGTACTTGTTTTAATCGTAAGACGGTAACAATTATTTCAACATATCAGCAATAGTGAAATTGATACTGTACAATTTATTATTTATACATACATGCCGAGTACAGTATTATACGGAAACACTCAAATTTTGAAAGTTGCGACGAATTTTATTATACTTTAGATTATAGTTAGGATTTAGTCTACAAACAAAAGAATCGCTACTTGGATTCTATCAAGTAAAGAGGATAGTCTAGATTGAATATTTAGAATGAAAGTGATATTGCCTGAAAATTATTGTTACGTCATAAGCGGATTCTGTACGTCAAAATTACAAAATTAAGTATCTACATGTTATTGTTTATCATCGGCAAATTTTACGAGAAGTATATATTGTTAAATAGGAGTTGCTAAATTCACAAGAGATTTATTAGATTATTAAACTCTGTGCATCGTATTGTTAGAAGATTCACTTTAACAAAAGTAAAAATTGCCATGACACACAATCAATATTGTTGCTGTAAAATAAAAGTCATTTTTGTACTATCAAAGCTTTGATCTTAGACTGATTAAGTTTCAAAGTATTGTATATAGATTTTTTACTTGTGATAGATTGTAGAATACATAGTTGAGTTATGTACAATTACTTTTATGTCCCGTTCATAATCGATTTACATGTTTTATCCCCATTAAATGCTTTCAAGAAACAAATAATTTATGAAAATGTCAAGTTAAAACACGAAAAAATAACGATTTCTTTTTTATTTATAAGTCAGTCATCAGACATGAGCTTTAATAATTAGCACGAATATCTAAACTTGCAGGAAATATTACTTAACATGTATTTGTATACGAGCGCAATAACTCCATGTAATACTTTTCCATATGAATACAGGGTACATTACTCATAGCTGATGGTAAAATAACGTAATAATTGAAGAATTTAAGTTTTGGAAAAGTTTTCGTAAGTTTTTTCCTTCTCTCGCATGTCAGACAAAAATTTGTTAACAAAAAAGCAATTGAACAGTATTTTCCAAAAGCGGGCCAAGATGTGATATTTGTTTGTTGTGACGTCAAGTTGACAACTCAACTTTACAAATTTATTTTTTGAATGAAAAGCTAAAAAGCCCTTTTTTTAAGTAAATAAATGTTTATCCTAAGAAGCCACACATGGATTCCATTTAGAAACTGCACAATTTGTTGAGTATACACTAATTAAAAGCATTGTACTATTAACAAAATTAATAAATGAAAAGTTGTAATAAGAGATGATACTTAACGAATAATAATGAAACTTTGTATTACTGGCATATCTAAAAACAAAATGAAGTATATAATGCTTATGCATAAGAAATTGTTGAAAATTAGAACTGATATTTAACTGTCGTCAGGAAAAACCATGAATAATAGATTTATGAAATCATATATAGTTAATGTATTTATGTATATATTATATTTATAAATTGTTGTAAGATTAAAGTAATTATGCAATTACGTATCTAATGTGATATTAAGTTTTCATATATTATATAAATATTATGAAATCTATGGATCACATTATTACTAAAAGCAGCAATTCAGTACACTTTTTACATCAGATGCAATCGAGTGAATATAAATGTATTCATGATGGCAGCAAATATGGATTATTAATTTTTATCCTAATCATATGAGCTTTCATTTCTTTACGATTGTAACTTCGTTTATATAATATGTAGATAGGAAAATGAATTGAGATCATAATTCAAAGATGATGTAATGTAATTATGCAAAATTCTATTAAAATTATGTTTATGAATTAAAAAAAAATAATTTTTTAAATATATAATAATAATTACAAATATTTTTTCTACAAATAATAATTGTATAAATTTATTTCATTTAATTATTCAAAATATTACAGAACTTTTTCTGAATCCCTTTTTTCACTGAAATATGAAAGCTTATCGATAGTAAATAACAAACGATCAACAAAAAAATTAACTAAACTAGCAATATTAAAATAAGCAGACGTATCATTTTCTCATCTTTCTTGTACATAGTCATTGTATGTTTATTTTTCTATATATTTCATGTGTTCACGGGTTCATACTACATACTAAAATCATTCGTCGTAAATTAAGATATAATTAAAGGCATTGCGATGATATCTATAGATAAGTTAGTACTTATGTCGTCGAATATAATAAGTGAATGATAACAACAAATAATAATTAGATATGTAAAATAAAAATCAGTGTATAAATGAGTTTCGATCAATTCCATACATGTGTACACTGTACAATCGTCCGATAACAAAGAAGGAAGAATCGTCTTCTACATTAAAAAAAATTATAAAGTACTTATTGATGGATATAAAAAATGATTAAATAGGTAGAAATAAAATTAAAGAGTAATGAACTGTTTTTCTTTTCAAAAGGAAATGGATAAACGAATGTTTCATAGAACGAGCGTGGTCCGATCGAGCTTCCTGCGGATGCAAGTTAATTGTAACTACACAATTACATTTAATGTTGCAACCATATTGTACTTGTTTAGTAAATATGTAGAATTCTCTTGTCATCATAATTATTCTTATTTATTTTTTTTTGTTTTATATTTTTAAGATTTATTTTTATTCTTCATTATAAGAAAGTTACTAATTAAAATATAAAGTGATGCGTGCATTTATGTGAACTAAAGATGTATTCGAATGATCATTATCTGTAAATATTAATACAAAAAATCTGCGTGAGTTTATGAAACAAAAGCTTATTTTACTCAAACCTCTTCCAATTTCATATGAAAAATCCAAATGCTACTATATGACTAAACTCTATTTTATTTACTTACACGTTCATGGCGCATTAATAAACGAAACTTACTCTTAGTAAAACTATAAATTTTATTTGAGTGCTACACAAAATTAAAAATAAATTACAATAAAATTTAAGTACAAAATTAAAAATAAATTTTAATAGAGTGTACTCATTCTTAAAGCACTCAGTAAAATCCACAAAAATTAACAATCAATAGTTTTAGGATTTCGATTTGATTTTTGGAAAGACTATTATATTCGTATGCCCAAAATGTTTTGAATCAACTGGTGCACAAGGACTCAAATACTTCGGTGCGGTATCTTTCCAAAATCTATTATCCATAGGTATATTCAAGAAGTCCAACAAATTAGTACTTAGTTTTGGAACGACTGGATACAAACACAAAGCACTAATTCTCGTAGTTTCCATAGCTAAAGCTATAACTGACTTCAACTCTGTCATAGCAACCACATTGTTTATTTCTTTTCTTAAAATCCATGGTTTATGATAGTCAACCATAATGTTGGCGCTTCTCAAAGTAGTCATTACAGCGTCGATTGCATGGTGAATATAAAGCGACTCATAATGACCCTTCGCAATGTTCCCAAGAGATTCCATATTATATCGCAATTGCTCGGCAGGTTCGGATTTTAATACCTTACAGTAGATTGCTGCACTAGGTATCTCACTCTTAGGATTCAGTACTTTACCTGTACATCTACTGACTAAGTTGCCTAATGTGTCGGCCAATTCTGAATTCAACACGTTCAAAGCTCGCTCTTCGTTGTAATCTTTTGAAATAAGAGATTATAAATCATTTCTCTTCTACAAAATTAAATACCAAAAAATATTCTTAATTTACCAGAATCATTGTGTGGTACTGATTCTCTAAGAAGAAAATACCTCAATCCTTCTATTGTAAACTTTTCAGCTGCGTCGAAAGGTTTTATGACGTTTCCTTTAGACTTTGACATTTTTTCACCATTTACAGTCCAATGCGAGTGGCAGTATAATGTTTTTGGGGGCTCCAAACCAGCTGCTATCAAAAAAGCTGGCCAATAAACGCCATGGAACTTAAGAATGTCTTTTCCTATTATCTTTCAAATTATAATCATTTTGAAAATATATCAACAATTTAAGTTTTATAAAAATCAGAACAATTAATATTTAATATAATACCTGAGTAGTAGGTGGCCAAAATTCCTTGTATTTCTTTTGAGGATATCCCAGTGATGATAAATAATTAACTAAAGCATCCATCCATACGTAGACAGTTTGATTAGGATCGCTTGGCGTAGGAATTCCCCAAGGAGCTCTGCTAATTGGTCTTGAAACACTTAAATCTGTTAAGCAAGATCCTTCTTCTATCCACTGTGTCACAATTTTGTAAAATACTGATGGTCGAATTACCTTCTCTAAAAATGATGAATTGAGAGCTATGATTAATCTGACTTTGAAACAAACTTACCATCTTTCAGCCAATGTTTCAAATCGTCTTGAAATGAGCTCAATCGGAATTTATAATTATCTTCTTCAGTCCATTCGACGACGTGACCTGATTCTGCGGAAACTTTGACAGATTTTCCAGATGAAGTTTTCTTCTCAATCAAATCTTGATTTGACAAAAATGCTTCTTCAGGCACGCAGTACCAACCAGAATATTTTCCTTTATAGATATAATTTTTCTCTTCTAGAAGTTTCTACAAATTATCCACCATGAATGTATTAAGATATAACTTAATTATTCCAAAATTATCTGTAAAGTTATTACCCAAAAGTAATGAACAGTTGCTTTGTGAACAGCATCTGTTGTTCTAATGAAGTTGGTATATCCGACTTCAAAATCGTCACACATTTCTCGAAAGTCAGAAGATACTTTATCACAATACGTATCCACTGGCATATTCAAAAGTTTGGCGGCTTGTTCAACTTTATTGCCATGCTCATCAGTCCCAGTGTTAAGGAAAGTTACATGACCTTGCATCAAGTTATATCTAGCTATACAATCTGACACCACTGCAGTGTACAAGTGGCCGATATGTGGAACTGCAAGTACATTGAAAATGTATCATTTTTTCTAAATAAAAATTCCTTCATGAAAACGGAATAAAATTAACTTACCAGCATTTACATAGAAGATTGGTGTTGTGATGTATTTAAGTTCATTAGTAGCTTGTGAATATGCTCTGAACATTGACCTATTCTTGTCCATATTAGAGCACCATAAATGTGATGATAAACTCCAAAACCGTTTTAATTTTTGACTATATTTCAAGCATCTACAAAATACTATAAAAATACTAATATAAATAAGTTACAATCTTTCTAAATAAAATGTATTAAATGCAAGGCACTTTAACAAAATATTTTTGATTCAAGTTCTTTATTACTGAGTTAACTTTTAATTTATTAGAGTATAGTTTTATTTTTTTAACACAATTAAAACAAAACCAAAAAATGAAAACCAATTATTAACTAACAATTAATTACAATGATACTTGATTTAAACTACATTTATTTTCCATATTATTTCCATATTATTATTTTATACAATGGTATTCAATATTAAGAACTCTACAATTATTTTAAACATTCTGATATTTTTGTGGGCATTCAATAGGATTATGAGTTGATTGAATTGGTTGAAAAATTACTTGCTTTTTCAAATTTAACTTTTATTCTTAAAAGTTCTTATTTACAACTCAAAAGTTCATTAGTTAGTTTTCTTCTTTGATAATAATTCTCCACTAGCACCAGCATCAAATGAAATTGTTTCTAAGTGTGCAACCAAATCCATGTGTTTAAATTCATCTGGTCTTTCTGTAAATATCTTAAGTAGCTTTAATCGTTGAGCATGATCTGAGCAATAATACATCTGCAGCTCATTTGCTAGACACTGTGCTTCCGTTACAGACAAAGATTTTGTGTCAAATTCACCTTTCATCAATACAATTCCTTTACTGTCTAACAATTCTGTATAATGAATCATTGTTAGACACTCTGGTGCATTTTCTTTGTGGGTTTGATACCATAACAATGGTGTCATATGTACTTCAGTTCCATGAAATTGAGTTACAATAAATTCATAACCATTTTCACGTGGTAGTGGCAATAAAAAAGTGCAGTATTTTTTTCCTCGTTCAAACATCTTATTATACTGTTCTTTTGTTAATACTCCGCATATGCAATCTTTCTGTTTGTGGTATTCTTGCCAAATTTGTGTTATTTCATTTTTACTCTTATTTTCAATCAGCTCCATCTTCATAATACTGTTTAATTTGGGTTGTTTGGTTTGTAATGCAGTATTCGAACTTGGTTTTGCTTTAGTTGCTTGGAACTGACTTTTACTTTTCCAACATTCTTGAACAGCGAGATTTATATAATCAATATAATTCTTTAATATTTTTAAGTAAAATAATGATATTTGAAAATAAAATCACAATTAAAAATAGTGCATTGCATTTAATTGATGAAAATAAGTAACTTTTATATATCTAATAGGGTAATGAATTTAATGTTATAAAAAATTTTTATTTTCTTCTCATTTATACTCATTGTAAAATAAATAACCATAACATTTTTTTATTTATGTGATTGATTCATTTATACATATTAATGGCACAAAATAAGTATTGAACTGTGAAATAGTAATTCAAATATAAAAAGTTGTGAATATCAAAATTGATGTAGCTATAAAAAAGTTACCTTTCTGTTCTTTTTCCTTTTTTGCTTTCTCCTCAATCCTTTGCAAAAACTCTTCAGGACTAGTTTGTTGGAGTTTAGCAATTTTTTGCGCATATTTATCAAAGTACGGATTCCTTTGTAATTCTTGGACAGCTTTTTCTAATCTTACCCGGGATGTCATGATCGTTCGATTTGAGGTTAGATTTATAACGTCGCCAGCTTTCTTAACTGTGCCAAAGAGACAGGTGAGTTTATTTCTTCGCAATAATGAACCTGCCATTTACAATTTCAAAATCACTAATCAATTTATATAAACAGTTGTTTTCGTAAATTATTAACACAAAAGTTTAATTTTGCGTTGGGCCCTTAACCATGTATGGATTACGAGAAAGCTAAAGCTTTCTGAGGTCTGCGAAGTTAGCCCTCTTATTTTCAAAGGAAATCAGTAGCAAAAAGGGGAAAACGGCATTAATTATCTTATTTGTCCCGGATATTAATGCTAATTTCCTTTTTTCGATTACTTACTGGGAAATACGTGAAAATTTCTATTTTCCAATTACTTAGTAAATGGCTATTATATCGATGAATTTTTGCGGGGAAGGTGTCAAAATAAAAATTAATATTTCCCTCAGCATCCTCTCCATTCGCTTTTTTAATAAATTTTATGAATTTTAAATAAAATTAATAACAATATTCGATGTCTCGAATGTCGGGAAAACGAGCTCAATCCATATTTTACCGTTCTATATATTCTAACGAAACTCCTATATGGTCAACCGTGCTCAGTCGTTTGTTTTGAAATGAAAATATCATTTCGTCAGCGCTACATCAGAAAGCAAGAACAAAGTGTTGTTGTTTGTTATCAATATTAATTATTAATTCGAAATGGTCATCATTAAATTGTTAGAAGAAATGTTATCTCTAGAAAACATCTATATACTGGTCTGCAACTCCTTTATTCATCATATCATTAACGTACCGTAAAATGATGGTTTCACCTGCATTTAACAATTATCATATCAATAATATTTAATGTAACTCACTTTGTTTTTGCTTTCCGATGTATAGTGCCGGCGATATAACGTTATTTTCATTTAAAAGAAAACGACTGCGCGCCGTTGACAAGAAGCTTCGTCATGCAAAAATGGAACGGCAATATATTATACATACCGAGCACAGTTTCCCGCCTTTCGAGACGTTCAAAATTATTATTAATTTTATTTAAAATCCATGCAATTTATTGAAAAAGCGAATGAGGGAATGACGAAAGAAATAATAATTTTCATTTCGAGACCTTCCCCCCAAAAATTCAACAAGAAACATCGAGATAATAGACATTCACTAAGTAATTGGAAAATAGGAGAAAATAAGAACTTTCATATAATCCTCAGTATGTAATCGAAAAAGGGTAGTGAGCATTGAAATCAAGAACAAATAAGATAATTAATGTCCTTTTTCCTTTTTGGCTACTAATTTCCCTTGAAAATGGGGGGACTTCGCAGCCCTGCTTGCCTGCAAGTTTTAGGATTAACGGTCACGTGATCCATGATGGCTGTGCAAATAAGCAAAAATACATTGCAAACATATAACCGAGAACTCAGATTTTTTTTCAGCTGTTATCGAAAATATTGAACATTTACGAAATTTTTAGACGGAGAAATTAGATCATCTTGTTGTTTGAAATTTTTTCATCGCATAAAAAAACAATTTTAATCTTTCATAAACTATTAAAAATTTCAAAAAGATAAGATAAAACATTTGTCCTGTCTACAAGTTTTATAAAATTTCACAATTTTCAACAACATTCGAAAAACTCACTCTTTTTTCCAAAATAATGCGATGTTGCCATGTTTTACTGGAGCTTACAAGCTTAAATGCGAATTTCTGAAAAGATCCATTTAGTGAACATCATATGTTGTGCACAAGTTTCTCTTTGGACTCACGTAGTACCTATACTGGTGAGTGGTGACGCACTGTTCTGCAACGTCAGAGAGAAAAAGAGAGAGACGGCATCGTTACGCAAGTAGACATGAGAGAGAAGAAGAGAGATAGCTCATTTTTGTTGAAGGAAAGAATGAGAAAGAGCTAAATCGGAAAAAAGAGTGGCTTATACACACTCATACCCACGTAGTAATCCCGTTACATGAAACTAATTTCAAGAGCCTATGAAATTCTAAAACCTAATATTAGAGGGAAAAATGCATATTTTTTTGAAAAATGAATTATGAATGCCCTACGATAGCTAGAAAAATTTGATATAGTGTTTCAAAAGGCGCATAACTCTCATACACAGAGTAAGCACACGAACAGTCAGCCATTAACACTCTCAGAGCGCAGGCGTGTAAGAGCGAGCGAAAGAGATAGAGAGAGAGAGAGAGAGAGCGAGAGAGGCGCAGTGTGGTTGCGTTGCTGACTGCCGTTCGTAGGTTCTCGGAGGCTCGCGGGTTGCCATTCTTGCGCGAGGGAGAGAGATAACGTCCGAGGTTGCGGCGAAAGACGACGAGGAAAAGGGAGGACTGCGTGTTCATCTGCAGTCGAAGAATACAGATTCTGTTACAAATCGGCTGAACGCACGTAAGGCCCTAGAAAGAAAGTTTGGAAGAAAAAGTCGTGCGCGGAGCCGAGGGGCCGCGCTAACGTGCGTGGCACACACCAGCTGAGTTTCCTCCTTCTGTGTACTAAAGAAGCAGCAGCCATGTCGATCGTCGGAATCGTCAGCAAGAGTGAGTTCGTTGTCGGTGGCAAGTACAGGCTTATGCGAAAGATTGGATCAGGATCTTTTGGCGATATTTTCCTCGGCATCAACATCTCCAATGGCGAGGTGAGTGTATATGTATATAGACGCCAAAACCTTTTGTGTGTCTCCCAGTTGCGCGTTCGTATGTATGTCTTGCTCTCTGTGGCCGTGTGCGTGAGTGTACCTGTGCGCCTTTTGGCTTTTCTCTTTTGTCGCTCGCGCTCGTGAGGAGAGAGAGCGAGACCTCGATTTTTTTTTTCTTTCCTAGACGACGCCTTTTTTTTCTTCTCGTCTTGATTATGAAATAAAAAAAGAAGTGAGAAAAAGAAAGAGAGTGAGAGAGACAAAAGCCCAGTTATTTCTGAGTTTATGGGGAAAACCGTTGCGCGACTCCTCGATCGCCTTTGATTGCCGCACTTTCGGAGTACATGACATCAAGTACACGATCATCTGAGCCGCACTCACGTACACCAGAGACGCATACTTTTTATGCATTGATGCCATGAGTTTTCCCTATTAAGACAATTGTTCTGCTGCCGTTGTTGCTGCTTGCGCACGGTTGTTTATTAAAGCGTAATTCAGAGATAAACTCTGTTTGGGTTTAACTAGAGTTCAGAATGGAGATTGAAGATTTATTGCGTGCACTTTTGTAATAAGTGTTATGACTCATCAAAATATGCATTAGAAATACCAGTGTTAATCAGAAAAAAGGCTAGCATGCAGAATTCAATCCAAATTTAATTTTCTACCACTGGTATTCCTTTCATTTTTACACAATTTTCTGATAAGCAATTTGTTAATGAATTGAGTATTGCCTTAATTGAGTGAAGCACGGCTATATGTCTTAAACTAGATTTATTTATTCAGGTCTATCAGAGCACTTAGTAACTAAAATGATGAAATATTACTTCAATTTTCAGTTAAAACTTTTTGAAATTTTATCTGTTATAATCTGGCACAATGTTGAGAATGATATTCATATATAAATAGATCATTAAAAGGAATGCTTATTAAAACTGATATAATATTGTGAAGTAATCTTAATTTCTACACCATATGTTGATGTAATTATCAAAACTGGAAAAAATACAATAGTTCGAATCTAAACTTCAATCTTGAAAAAATAGCATCACTTTAAATAAAAATATTTTTTTAAGTAAATCATATTTTTCAAGTTGGTTTTAGATTTTAATCTGTTTAACTTAATTGATTTAGTTAAATGAACTGAGAAAGCAGCTGTTGTTTGGATAAATAGTTTTTTGACTTAGCTTTAAATATTTGTTGCAAGTGTGAACTTTGTAACATATCCTGTACTATCAACTTGTGATAAAAGAACTTAGTAAATGTTTTGTGGATAAAAGCATGATTAATATATTATAAATAATACAAGGCTTCAATTATCTGTAACTAAATTCAACAAGCAAAAATACAAATGGATTATTGAATATAATCTGTGGGATTTTACACAAATTTTTCATATATCTTAGTTTCAGCAGAATTATATGTAATAAGCTTAATTGCTAATTTAATATTTGATCGATTTTTAGGAAGTTGCAATTAAATTGGAAAACATAAGAGCCCGCCACCCACAGCTGTTGTATGAGTCCAAATTATACAAGATTTTACATGGAGGTGTTGGAATACCTCATATGCGCTGGTAAGTTAATATTAATACTAAATAAATGTTATTCAAAGCTAAAATGTGAATTCTATAAGATGAGTTATGATATTTTCAGATATATGTATGAATGCGTGCGCGCGTGTATGTGTGTCAAATTTCATTTATTAGGAAAACTTTCTAAATATAATTTTAGAAATGCTGAAATTATACATTTTTTTCTTTTCAAAAGTTCATAAAGAGTTTTTTTACTATTATTTTTAGGTATGGACAAGAACGCGAGTATAACGTTCTTGTGATGGACCTACTAGGTCCTTCACTTGAAGATTTGTTTACATTTTGCTCTCGAAAATTCACAATTAAAACAGTCTTGATGCTGGCTGACCAGATGATAGGAAGGGTTGAGTTTGTTCATTGCAAACACTTCATCCACAGAGATATTAAACCAGACAATTTCTTGATGGGTATAGGACGTCACTGTAATAAGGTAAGACATCACGACACGTACATTGAATAAGCACTTGGTTGCGATTACAATGCCATAGTAAATTACACCTAACACGTCATTGCTAGTATTTGAAATAAAACAATCGATCTTTTATGTTACAGCTGTTCCTCATCGATTTTGGTCTGGCCAAGAAGTACCGTGACAGTCGCACCCGTTCGCACATAGCGTACCGCGAGAACAAGAACCTAACGGGCACAGCGAGGTACGCCTCGATCAACGCCCACATGGGTATTGAGCAAAGCCGTCGAGACGATATGGAGTCACTTGGCTACGTCCTCATGTACTTCAACAGAGGCTCGCTGCCGTGGCAAGGACTCAAAGCTGCTACGAAAAAGCAGAAGTACGAAAAAATCAGCGAAAAGAAAATGTCCACGCCAGTCGAGGTTCTCTGTAAGGTGAGATTACTATGATGGCTCCAACATTCACGCGACGTTTTGTGTAGCAACGCTGACGCTTAACGCCAACGCTACTATACGTGTTTATATGCGGGTCGATAATGCGGAGTCTCTTCAAAAGCTTTTTTCCCACTACATGTTTTTACTTTTTATACTTTTTTCTACACACACACACACACACACACACACACACACACACACACACACACACACACACACACACACACACACACACACACACACACACACACACACATTTCTACTTAACTATTTTTAATTTAATGATTTTAGACAAAAAAAGAATATGCGCAGATTTTAAAATAATAAAAAACTGATATACTTTATTAAATGTCAATAAAACAATGAAAATATTAATTGACTAATGCAATAATTTAATTTCGTTTTTAGGGCTTCCCCGCAGAGTTCGCGATGTACCTAAATTACTGTCGAGGTCTGCGTTTCGAGGAAGGCCCAGATTACATGTACCTGCGCCAGCTGTTCCGCATCCTCTTCCGCACGATGAACTACCAATACGACTATACGTTCGACTGGACGATGCTGAAACAGAAAGTGGCCCTTAACATCAACGGTTTGGCGGCAGCACCAGGGCAAGGACAGTCGCAGCTGCAACAGGGACAAGGCACCACCCAAGGACAACCGCCCACCCAGGCTACCGCTCAATCAGGTGCTTATGAAGGCTATTGAAAGCCTCTGTACGGCGATTAGTCGTTCAATTCCCTACTAGCGATAGATACACGTTGATGATTTGTTCCTATATTCTTTTTCTTTTTTCTTTGAAAGGTTGCCTTTAAAGTATAAGAATGCCAGTGTAAACGTGTATCTACCGTTATCATGTTTGATCGAAATGATAAAACAGCCGAAAATCACGTCTTTATTATTTTCTTTTCGGAGGTTTTCTTGATACTTTCTTTTTTATTCTCTTAAGTAACTCGTTTGTTTTACTGTACTCACACGATTGATTAAACTTTAGGTAAGATATATGGTGGTGTAGGTAACGGTTGCTCTAATAAGGTTTACTAAGAATTATATGTTACCAGTGATGTGACACTAGTATAAATCATTATTTGTTTAGCTTCAAAAGTCAACATTTCAAATGAGTACGAAAAACTATTCTTTATGGATACTTTCAAATTATGCAATGATCGAGATATAGTGACATACTTGCGTACCTGGTACGACACAATCTCATACATATTTTAACTTTTAAACGACTGAATAATGAGCTAATTATTGCTTTGAATATTACGTGTCTTGCATTATAAAACTTAAGTTTGAAAGTAATGACTTTCATTAAGTTAATTTCAATCGAGTCCTTTAGTGGACATTTCTTAATTTATCTATTTGTTACAAAAAAGTTTAACTTGTTTCTTTTATGATTTTCAGATATAAATTAATTAATTCGAAATCGAAAATGCAATAGTGAAATTGCAAAACACTTTTGACATGAATTATTTAGCTTTTTATTTAGATTAATTATTGTTTTTTTTTATATATATATAAAATATTTATAACTTTTTTGTAAACCTTTGAAAAGGTTTTAAAATAAATTTTATAATCTATTAAAATTCAAATTAATGTTTACTTTTTTAAATCTTTATCTCATCAAAAAGCTTCATTATTTTCATCTAATTTTTTTACTGCATGTATATGATTCATATCATCTTAAACTCTTAATCATTATTGTTTATTAATAGATGAAAATATAAATTTAAAAAGACAAAAGAGATTTTTAATTCATGACTCTTACAGCATTTTTGAACTTACAATTGATACATATATATTTTTTCATTTTTTTTCTGGCTCGCACAGTTTATTAAAGTAAAAGTGAATTTGCTATAGAAAACTTTTCCCTCACTTTGGTAGATTAGTTTAGTAATTAGGTAACTAAATACATTTTTCATTGCATTAAAAAGAACAAAAATAAATAAGTAGCTTAATCACAATGCATCTTTTTTACTTTATGCATTTCTTGATTATTTTTATTCACGGATGAAGCTCGTTTTATGAAAATCAAAAACAAATAATGACTAATACCAGTTGTCTACATATGTTATTGTTTATAAAACTAATACCAACATCAATTCTCATTGCATTAATAAATGTCTAACACTGGTTTACATATAATTTCAATTAGTAAAAACACCAATTCTTACTTTTTAATTTTTTCATTAAAATGCTAGTTGCACCGCCAGAACTTCGCAAGAGGATATATCATTGGATGGAATCGGCTTCTCCTGGCACTTCTGAAAAATCTATCGCGACTCAGAGTGAAAAAAATGATTAACACTATCATAAACTGTCTTTCGTGATTATTTCTCTTTCAATTTCAAGAAAATACACGAAAATAGTAGTAATTATACCCAACCCAAGATTCATGCGAATTGATTGCAGTTGTGTTCTTAGAAAAACTGTTGAAAATAATTTTTTTCGTTATTTAAACAATTTTTCATAAGCGATTTTTGAATTAAAAATTTATATGTTTTTTGTACTGTCTTTGAGACATAAATGTATTGCAGTACTTGAACATATAAGAATGTGATATAGAGTTAGTTGCATTAAAAATTAGAAAATACAGCGATTATATTATGAGAATTTGATCTTGTAAAAAAGATTTATGCTTAAATATTCTAAAATAGACTGTCTTGTACATTAATGAATGTATTTCTTTATTATTTCACATCCCACGTAGTTTAATATTTTTTAACCAACAAATTTTTTTCTTGATTGAACAAATTTATCATGACAGTGACAATTTACGAAAAGGGATGCATTCTTAGTTCCAAGTACAAATTTAATAAAAATGTATAAAAATAAAGTCATCTTTATATATAATTATTCTTTTTTTTTACCTAAAAGAGTTAATCTTACACGAGATCAAAACTGGTAGAAAAGATACGCCTTTTACACAGTACGACACTTTATCACTTCATTCAATAATCCATCTATAATTCCAGAGGTTGTTTATTTTGAATGTATACACTGTATTTCATATGTTCATTATACTACATGTTATCGCTTAACTCAACTAACGTGATAAATCGATTTAAAGCTTCTGTGATTATTTAATTAATGTAATAAATTTAGGAACTTTATTTGATCATGCAATAGATTTTTTCAAATTAAATATAATGCGATGAACGCAAATACTATTCCAATTGGTAGTTGTAGTTCTCTGATCAAATAAGAAAGTCTAAACAGAGTAATTATTTTTTATTTTCATAAATTTAAATTTAAATTAGTCTTTAAAATTAATAACAATTAAAACTCGTACTATATGTGAATACAACCGGGTTGTAGTTTTTTACAATTACCGAATTATTGCATTTCTAAACTTGATATTATGGAGAAATCGTATAGCTTAGTTATTACATTTACTTACTTTGAATGTATGTATTTTAATTTAAAACATAGTCATCAGTCTAGAAAACCTTAAAATACAATTCTGTAAGAAAGTTTTTTTTTTTCATCCAGTTTTATCTTACAAGGAAAAAACAATGAGATTTTTCATTACATAATTCATATAATGGATAACGCTCAATGACAATTCTATTTTTTCTGTGTCTGTTTCAGGAACGCGTTAAAAAGTGAAAAATTTCCGGTTTCGTGATTGCACCAAACGTAAGAAAAGAGGCGCGAATCGCTACAGGTCGTAAGTATGTAAACGAAAGCAAGTCAAAAAGTTTGAAAAATTATCGTAAAATAATGTAAGGCGAAATAAAAATTTAAAAAATCCAGATTTGCACTCTGTAAAAGAGAGGGCGGCAGCATCAGTTCTGTAGTCAAACGAAATTTAGAGCAGTCTTCAAGATTTTATGTAACTCATCGCATTATAAAATCAAGAGAATTGTTAAAAAAACAAAATAACAAATTAAAACGCAGTATACTGCTCATTGGAATTCAAATTTCGGATGATCGACCCGCCGCCATTCGCGAGAGAAAATCAAGTGTAAAAAAAGAAATGGCTTATTTCACATTTATCTTTTGTTACATTGACTATTTAATTGTATCGTTAAAGAGTACCATTATGTAAACCTAAGTTGCAAACGTCCCCGAAATGATTAAAAAAGACAGAAAACGAAGTAATAAGAAAAAAATCTTCATTAATGGTATATACAATTATCACACGTACAGACAAATAGACACACCATGTTACATCAAAGTCCATTTTGCCAAGTGATTTACGAATTAGAGTACAGTAATATACGGATATATAAATAAATATATGTATACATAATTTACATAATTTTCTTAGAAAGAGAGACGTTTGGAACGCTAAAATTTTTACGAGTCGATATTATTTATTAAAATTGCGTTTAGGTTATTACAAAAGTTCGTTGCATTTTTCACGATGCTTAGCAATAAATGATAAAAACTTGTCTGTCCTGCCCTACAATGAATTCTTTTACATGTCGAGCTTCCACGAGCTCAAGATTTTTTTATGTTTTGTTCAATGAAAAACCAAACTAAACCCGATTAATTTTTACAATTTTATATAAAATCTCTTTTGTAGGTAGACAGTTTGCTAATTGAAAAAAAGACTTTCACTTATTGAAAAAAATGTCTTTCTTATATTTTTATTGCATTACGAGACAAAAAAATTTGAAAGAAAAAACGACAGAAATTCTACAAATATCTAAAAAGAAGGAATCTTTTGTATTTACTCTATAAATTTGACATTATGAACAGTGCGATATGTCCATGAATGTGTGTGCGTAATAAAGGTTCGTCATATGAATTGGCCCTTTAAATTAAACGATTAAATATAGATTACAGTGGATACATGAAAGGGCTGAAAAGTTTGTAGATTGAAATTGAATCTTGATTATGGAGCATTGGGTATTTTGGCACGAGTGTATATCTTCTATTGTGAAAACGATCGGTGACTCAATTTTAAAGAGTCCAACCCGTGCTTCGTAAAAAAGACTATCTGTGCGTGCGTGCGTGTATGCGCGTGTGTGTGTATGTATGACTTGATACTTTGAACTAAAAAGATGTTAATATTGACATGTAAAAGTAATTTTTAACTGTGTAGAGAAGAAAGTCAACCATAATACCGACAGTCGCACGTAACAATTCACTGGATTTTTCTTACTGTCTCTCTTTCTCTTTTATTTTTAAGTCTGTAAGCAAAAGCGGATGCAATAAATTAATAATTCTATTATTTGTTTCTTATTTTTACAATATTCAAACAATTTACCTTTAATTATTTCGTTTTTCTTTCAAATAAACTTATTCAAACTTAAAAATAATAGCGGCCAAATATCCGTTTCTATACTTGAAAACGACCAAATATTCATTCAACTCTAAATAATGTTGAATGTTTCATACGAATTATTGAATTTAGAAAACAAAATATTTCCTAGAACAAGATAAAACATTTGCGATTTATTTGCTTGCAGGCTTCACTTTGCTTCATTTGAATTCTTATCAACACAAAAGATGAATGACGCAAACGTTCTACTATGCATAAAAAATAAACAGTTGATGAAGTTTCCATATATATTCATCGATCGTTTCTTGTATTTTCAATATTATCTGTATTTTAGATCTTATTATTTTTCACAAATTATTAAAATATTCGAAATATCACAATTTTCGAATAAAAGTTCACGATATAAAATCGAAATGTTATCATATCTCATGAGGGGAGGAAATTTATTTTCAAAAATTAGACTGTATGCTAATAACGAAAAATTAATTTAAGTGTAAGGTCTGAAAAGAAAATTTGTATTAGATATGGTTTTTGAATTGGTTTTTGAATTGAATTGATGGAAGGAGATCTTTTCTCAACAAAAAAGAAAATAAAAGGATCTCTTTTTCTTGTAAATTTTATTAAATCGTGTCTCCTCTTAACTCTATAATATCATAGATGTCACATGCTGTAACAAGTTTTAATAAAATCAATGGGTGTCAGTCTGTGTAGAGAAGGCTTAGCAAAAATGTTTTGTTGGAACTGTTGAGTAACAGAAGATTGCCATGGAGTTCATCCTACATTGAAATGTGATGTTCAAAGGCAGTAATAAATACAGTTTTCATTGATAAAGAAGATGGGATGATATTACACACGTTGTTTTCGCTAACATTGATTTTGCTCTTGTTTTGTACACACATTTATATATAAATTCATTATTATCTCTACATTTAATTTGACGATTTATTTGCATCGAAAACAAAAAGAAGGTCTACTAAGCATGAGCTACATATTTACACGCTGGTCCTTTTTCAATTATTGAGGAAAAACGTTATACGTAAGTTTTGCGGAATTCAATGGTTATACGCAATCACATAATAGTGTTGACTATGGGATCACATGTGGCTTGGGCAGCGTGCAAAAGTTACATTAGATCAAATACGAGAAAGAAAAACATTTTTTTCAAACAGACCGAGGGGGTCTATTTACGTATGATATGTTTCCTCAGAAAAGAATGTGAGAATACATATATCTATATAAATAATGTATCTTTAGTTAATCAATGTTGAGAAGTCTGCTGAAACGACGTACATCATAATTTTGACGTTTTTAAGTTTCATTATTTACGCATCTCTAACTGATAATATACCATACACTACTTTACGTTGTTCTTTTTCCATACTCGTTAAGATTACATATACACGTCCATGAATTGCGCTTTAAGTTCGTGTAAACATCAGATCGAGAGAAGAGTGAGCCAGCGTCGTGGCGGCGAGAATAAAAAAATTTGTCGCGTGATAAACAAAAAAGAAGGGACGCAGCGATATAGTTTGAGAATCGAACAGCCTCGATTGCAACTTATAACCGCATTACTTAGATGAAAAAACGTTATTATATATTAAAAGAGAATAATAATAATGACAAAGGAAAAAAAAACAAAAAAAATAATGATAATAAAAAAAGAAACAATTTCTAAACTTGTAAAATGATATGTGCGAGAGTGTAGTACGATGAGCCACGTTTGTGTGTGATTGAGTAAACGATTATTACAAAATGAGAAAAAAATATGAATTTAAGGATGAATTTTGTGTTTGTGTGAAAGTATGAATGAGTGCAATGTGAAAGTGTTTCGCGGGTTGAGAGTGATAAGTGAATTATTAATGAATTATTATTAAACATGCACATGAATACTATCCAGTATATATTATAATTATGAAAATGTGACAGTAATTAAGAACATGCGTTATTTCATAAATACTGATTACATCAAAGGTTTACTGCTCCCTTTGTCTCTACAAATAAAATAAATCAACATTGTAAAATATGCATTCTTTCATTCCGACAAATTTCGTTACTACGTTATTTTATTATTTATCTTTTTCTTGATATTATTTATATAATTTTTAATATAACTATCATTACTGACATATTTATCTCCAACAACTGGTCTATTTCAAGTTTCAAATTTTGAAAGAAGCTGCTCTTACTACGAAAGCAAAAGTAGTTCCGGTTTGGACAGATAGAAAGAGAAAAACTTAGAAAAACTGACGGTTTCCATTCGGCGTCTCTTTACCTACTTATCATCAATTAAATTTATCATTACCTATATATAATTAATCGAATGAATTTTTTTTTTCATTTTGAATAATATCAACTTTTATAATTTAACATGTTTATTTAGCGAGCTGAGTGAGCTTATATTTTTCTTTTTGGAAAATTGCAAAAAGTGGATATTATGAAATACAAATTTATGAAGAAAGTGGAGACTCACTGCGCTTCGTAGGCCTTGAAAACTTACAAATATCAATAATTAGAACCTTCCGGTGGTGAACTCCGAAATGAGACAGTTTCTGAACGTTTAGGTGAAGCGGACAACATTGCGCAGTACCAATTAGTCATTGTTTATAGCAACGATTGGAATAGGCATCTTTTAGTCAATTTATTCTTAAAATCATGTTGATTGAGTTGCGATGCAAAATTGTTGGACGGCAAAACATAAAAAAATTTTAGTACTCTACTTCTAAATGTTCTTGTTAATAAAATATGAAAAAACGTGTAAAAAAAAACGTGTTGAATTAAAAATAATCTTCAACATTTTTTACAATTCAATATTTTACGGCTTTGCAAACATTAAAAGCCATTAATTTTAATTAATAACGTCCTTTTGAAAAATAATTATAAATATTGTTGCATAAACAGGACGATGAGTTTCTTTTATAAAATCAACTCAGCTACGCAATTTATGGAATCATTGTATAAGCCGACGAAATTTTTTCAATGGGAAAAACGCGATAGTATATTTTCTTGAGTTTTCGAAACGCTGAATCGGAATCTGACTTCAGATCGAATTGATCCATCACCTAAGGTTCTCGAGAATATCCTAACTTAAAAGTGCGAAAATTATAATATTTTGTTACGTTCGAGGGTATATAACACTGTAAATAAATTTTTTTTTCCAAAAACAAGTAGTCGTGACAAGACATTACTATTGCCCATTAAAACCCACTTTTTGGATTAGTTATCTTTTTATCGAGATAACATTGATTGAAATTGAGTACTCTTTAAACCCCAATTACTTTAACTCCAGACCCATGTCACCTGTGACCGTACAACCCTAGACCTCTGAACCCCTATTGTCTTAACCCCTGACCCTTGTTGCGAAACTGCTAAAATATTTAACATCAATCAATATCTCGATGAAAAAAATATAAAAAATATATAGATATCTGATCCAAAAAATGATATTTAAAAGGCAAGAGCGCAGCTTTCTGAATTTTTTATAGTTTTACTGGTTTTTGAAAACAAAATTTATTCAGTGTTATATAACCTTGAGCATGCCAAATAATCGTGCATTTTGTGCTAGGTTTAGATATCTCGACAACTTAAGGTGATGGATCAATTCTGAAGTCAGATTCGGATTCCCGCATCGAATACCTTCGGAAATAAATTATCGCGTTTTTGAATTTTTTGAATGTCAGCCTGTGTTATTATTCATTATCGCTACATGGAATCCCCGTGATTTTTTAAATAGTTTAAGTAGATTGTAAGTAGATTTTAGAATAGTGAAGAAAAACGTGGATTCACTAGAACTTTATCTGTCGTGATAGGTATAATACATTCAGCAAAATAATTATTTGTGCAACAATTTTTTCTCGCAAATATCGCATGTTACTTATTAGAAAAATATTTTTAGGAGAGAAAAATAGAAAATGATTAATTTGATTTGAAAATAATAAAACTATATACAAAAAAATTTACTCCTAAACTTAAAATTAGTTGGAACTTGATATGCACTATTCATGCAAAACTTTAGACTATTAGAAATGCATATGTCAACAAGAATTTCAAGACCAATTGACGAATAGTAAATTATTTTATTATTTTATTTACTTAAACTTGTTTGATATTTTTATCCTTTTTAAATTTTTGATAGTTTTAATTTTATTTGACTTATATATTTTAAAAATCAAAATTCTGCATTTGATTCACTATGAAAATGCAGTATCATTCATATATTATTTCAGAAGAATATATTGTTATGAAACTATTGTTATGAAAAAATATATTGTTTCATAAGAATAAGAATCACTTAGATTTCAAAATTTTAGCGCCATTAGTTATTTTAGAAAAGCGTTTTCCGCTGTTATCCGGTCATAAATGCAGAAGCGCATGCGCATTGTCCAGGATCGAGGAGGTCAAGTTTTCTCTCACTCGCGACGTCGTCAGCCATTGTGTGCTTCCGTTTCGAGAATGGCGTAGTCTCGTTGAGTGCAGAATAACCGACGGGAAGATCCATATCCGGACACACAGGCCTCATCAACTTTTGTGATTCAACCTTCAATAAGTCTTCTCGGCGTGTATGTTCACTGGTTATCTTCGACTGTAGTAAAGATATACAGATAATATCAGCCGAAGCAGTAGAAGCATTTTCGTCGTGTCGACCTACAGGACAATGTGTAAGTACACACCACTACGTCAAGTTTAGTGAGTATGTGCACGACCAATTGAACGACGATTATTCTGTTTTTTCTCTCGTTCCCTTGCCTTCACCTTTATGTCCTGAACATTAATAAGCATTGCGTACTCACGAAATTTACGTGATATTGCCTAATGAAGGTTTACTTGTGAGAGAGAGAACCTAGCCAAGCAGCCCCCTCGCCCAAGAAAAATCAATAAACCGTTGTCGTTGCGCAAGACACAAGGTCCTCTTAGTTCTCTCAACCTCATGTAGAATTCTTATATGTATGTACACAGTGGTAGTTTTTTCCATGAGTTCATCACGTGCAGATGCGTAGACAGGATTATTTTTTCAACTACCCTTCGAGAAATATCCAAGCGAGAACAAGAAAGAATCATCTCGCGCCACACCGCTCAAGAATCTTAATCATATTTTTCATTTATCCCCGTCCCACTGTAGTCAGCTGATATAACAATTGATCAGAAGCCAAATTGAACTTTCTTGGGAATGTTCATGTTTTGGTTAAATTCCCATTAAAGTATTTTAGCAACCATTCATGATGAGACGCGCACACGCTGCCGGGAAATCGACTGATAAAATGGTGGCTTCCGATGAGTGCTAGTCGTGCTGTAGGTCTACTTTGATCGTCCGATATTATTAGTTGCCTTCACGTGTCTTTTCGGAATTTCTAAGTTTTACTATTCGGATTTCCATATAGATTCGTACTTTAATATACATGGTACGCCCTCCGAGCGTGCAAATAAATATGGTTATGTGCAATATTGCAGAGTATGATTGAAATAGATAGAGAATTTATTTTCCATTGAGTTAATCTTGAGTCAATAATAATTAAATATGCATCTACATTATTGTTAAAGTTAAATTCAGTTGTATTTTAATCTTTAAATTGCAACTTTTTATTGATGAATGTTTTTATATGTTAAATTTACAATAATTATTTACTTATTTCGTTTTCTTTATTTCAAATTTTTTTTACATTTTAATCGTGCGTGCGTGCGTGCGTGCGTGCGTGCGTGCGTGCGTGCGTGCGTGCGTGCGTGCGTGCGTGCGTGCGTGCGTGTGTCTGCTGTATGTATACATATTATGTATATATTAGATATTATATATGTGTATATGTATTGAACTTCAAAAAAATTTAATTAGCTAAAAAAATTGATTCAATCCTGACATTCAATATTTTTTACTAACCATTTTGAGCAATCTTATAACCCAACTTATAGCTTATAATAGGAAAATAAATTTTTGCAGGCCTGATTATATTTGTTTAAACTTACATCTTTGTAAATACTTTAATTTCATGATATTTGGGTGGATGCTTGGAGATATGCAAGATATTGGCTTTTCTGAAATAAAGTATAGTTATAATTAAATAATATTTTACAAGTTATATTTCTGTATAATTGCAATTACCAGCCACCTTTTATAAGTATATGGAATCAATATAAGTCATTAACTAGTGTTTGAATAAGTTATTAATAGATTGTTCCTTTCTTTTTTATCTACTATATTTATATTTTATTTATTTTGAATTTGAAATGTTTCAATTTTAATTTATACAATTTTCAATCATTATCTTTGTACAATATATACAAAATTTAATATTCAATAAAATTTTATACTTTGATTTCATTATTCACTTATGCCAACTTTAAAAAGGAGGGAGTTACTACAATTGACCTGAATTTTTTATGTATGTATGATCAGTCATATCTTTGATCCTGTTAATTACAAAAAATGAATTTGAAGCTTGCCTTTCGTTTATAATAATTAACCTTGTTTCTAGTGTACAGAATTATATCTTCTGTCCAATTGCATAAGTTTTTGTAAACTATGATTATACTTTTGTAACAAAGACAAGTAGTTGTATAGCAAGTTAAGTTTATATTTTTCTTTCTGAAAAATAATATAATCATAAACATATTTCTTCCATGTATTTGGGTATGTATGTTAAAGCAATTTAAAAATAAAAATTTCGAATTTCAAATTTATAAGTGATTAGGTCATACAGTGTGTAACTCATTTTTTGAAATTCTACCTGTGTACATACATATGATGCGATTGTTTTGAAAAATTAGTATTTGCAGGTCCATGATTTATTACTCTGAGTACAATGTATGTAAATGAACATGACAAAACTAGTTTGAAAAATTTATATTTGCAATATATTCAAGGTATTTTAATGCAATATCGAAAATACCCTATTTCCTCTTCAAAATTTCCTAAAATAGTATAGTATTTAAGAAGCCTTTCATCAATATAATTATTTATTAATATTATATATATTAAATTATACATTATATATCAGACCATATCAGACATTACTATGTAAGCTAATCACTTCTACATTGTTTTACCATTAACTGATGTAATAATTTGATTCTAAAATATTTTTTGTCCCTTTCTATCACCAAATTATTAAAACATATTATATTTTATAACAATTTAAATCTACCCAAATAGCACAACTGATTTACATTATAAGAGATTTTTAAGTTAAAAATAAATGCCGATGGTTGCTTAATGATCAATCATCAAAAAATTTATTGTAATTTTGCATTGATGTTACTTATGAATAATTATAACAAAGTTGAAACTTCAATATTCAACATATTTTTTGATAGCTCAAATAATCATTCATTGGTATATTTAATGCACGTTTTACTTAATCATGTACAACTAGATTTATTTGGAAATTAATTTTATATCTTTGATATAGGTTACATAACTCTGATGTAACAGCTAATTTGTTTATTTTATAAAATTATTAAAAAAAATTTATTACTATTATCAAAAAATAGTAAATACTTTTCATCAAGTTATAATCTACTTTTTAAATGAATTTCTAAATAAATTTGTTTGTTTATGATATTTTATAGTATACTTGATTGTTTACTAGAAAAAGTATTTCAATTGTATGTCACTTAAAAATATATTTTCTAGGAAAATAATCCTGAATTATATGAGATTGAATATAAAATTCTGTGACTACAAAGAAAGAAGAAAAATAAAATAATATTCTCATGAACATTAGTTTGTTCTTGTAAGACCTATTTACATCATCTTCAAAATTACTTTTGGTTGGAAATCAACCCCAATGTAGAGAGCATCTTTAGTGCTATTTCAGAATCTTTTAAAGAGCTTTCAAAAATATGCATGACACAAAATATTGAGTAATTACATGTTAAAGAAAAATTATAATAATCTTTACCGATCTTTGACTAAAGCTTTTCAGTGGAATAAAATCATACCAAAATTTTAATAAGCATTTTATAGTTTCTTTCAAGTTTTCTCCCTGACATTAAATCAAATAATTTTCTAATTACACTGAGCCTTATGTTAATAGTATCAACAAAAATATGATTTCCATAATGGTTAAGTTAAAATTCAATTTTTTGTTGAAGTTATTAGCATTCACTAGAGATTACACTCAATTTAATTGAAAGATTATTTACTTAATGTGATATAAATGCTTACCAATAAACTATGAAAGGTGTACATCAAAGATTTTGTAAGTGCTTTTCACTGTTGTTTTGATTGACATTCAATTGAACTTGAAAGGCAGACAAAGGTTACTATAACAATTATTTTCAATCAACATGTAATTATTAAAAGTCTATGTTATTAATAGTTTCTTTAAAAGATTTTTCAGATGCACTCATGATTATTTCTACAAGATTTCAGCTAGTATACAAAATTTTGATTATTGTGCAAATTTGTCTTTATGATACAAATTAAGATATTTGTTTATGAGTTTATTTATTGAACTATTATATAGAATTTATACTGTTTTACTTTCTGGTCATAAAATTTTATTGTCATTATAAATAAGCTTTTTAATGTCCTTGAGTACTCTGCGACTGCTCAATAAGAATTTAGACAATAAAAGCAAGACTCAGAGAAAATAAATATTTTTCTTGAATTGATGTATAGATGTAAAAATCAACTATATATATTTTAAGTGTGCCAAATTTCAACCATTATTTGCTATGAATTATAAAAGACAGTTCACTTCAACCCTTTTATCTCTACATTTACTTAAGAGCTTATGTACCAAAGCTCAATGATTATTATTTCTTAATTACTATAACAAAATGTTTTCCCCTTAATACTAAATAGCCTGTAGCCCAAAGGACATCGTTTAATATATCATCGGCAATGCACTAGCTAGCAGAGCTTATAGCTAGAATAATTGGAACATATTATTTGAAAAATGAACAACTGGAATCAATGGCCTGCGGGTACTAGTGTACCTCCACCGCCAACAACAGGATATTCACCAGCTGGTACAACTGATCCTATGGCTACCATGCAAGCTTATATGCAATACTATAGTCAACCAGTAAGTATCGTAAGATTTGTTGTGTCGTTTAAATAAAAAAGTATATTCTTATGTTGAATTGAGACACATACAAAATGTACAAGTTATTTTCTTGCTTGAAAATTTGAATTGGGTGAATTAATTGTCAATGTGATCAAAGTATAGTTTTTTCTTGTTGAACTTTTGCATTTAAAAAAACACGACTTATATAATTTGCATTTATTGATAGTCTATTGAAACCAATAAACATCATGATTCAATCAACACATTTACTTTTCTTCGAAATATTTGACAATAACGTATAAAAATAATTGAGCTGGTATGTTATCTTATATTTTAACTATGTGTTAAAGTTCAACAATAATCAAGTTATTATATTAGGCACCAAGTGGATACACACCAGAGCAATGGGCTGCAGCTCAGCAACAAAACTGGGCTAGTTGGCAACAATGGCAACAATCGTATCAACAATGGCAAGCTCAGTATGGTGATAAGGTAATAATAATAGATTTTCTTTTGTAACTATATTGGAAAATTTTTAATTTAAATGAAATAAAATTATTTTGGTTGCAAAAAATTAATACTACATGAAAGAAATAACCTTAAGTTGTTTTCAATAATAATTTTAAAGGTTTCTTCATTTTTCACAGTATCAAGAAACAATGAAACAACAATATGGTACAAGTGGACAAGCTCCACCCTTGCCAATAACAACGCAACCCCCACCTCCTCCACCAAAAGAAGATCGACCTCCGTTACCACCATCTAGTAATGTAAATACATATGGATACAATACAGCACCTCCTGTTAGTATTAATTGATATAAATATATTTCACTGGTGATAACCTCTATTGTTAGTTTAGATAATTTATGAAGCAATTCAAAATTTTTTCAAAAGGTTTCTTTTATGAATAATATGTAACGATTCAAGTTAAATCTGTTAGTTTTGTATAAGTCACCTTATAGAAAATTGGTAATTTAATTCTATTGCTAACAAATTAATTTTTCGATAGCCTCCACCATCAGGTAGTGGTGCAGGATCGAAAAGAGATGCCGATGGTGATGCTAACACAGACAGTGCTAAGAAGCAAAAAACCGAGACTGATGAAGAACTCAGTCAAGCAGAAAAGAAATTTGATGATCAGTTTAAACAATGGGAGGAGAAATTCAATAAATGGAAATTGCAAAATGCTAATCACCCAGATAAGGTAAAAACAGGAAATTTCTAGATTTATTCTTAGAATGCATTATTTATACTCATTTGTAAAGATTTGAAATTTATATAACGTGAATTGTGCTAATTAGTTGGTCACACATAATTTACAATTAAATCTATACGCTTTATCGTATCATGTAGATACATAAAACCTAAAATTTGTTTACAGGAACAATACAAAGTTTATGAAGCCAAGTGGACTAGTTGGCGAGAGAAGTTGATTGAAAAGCGTGAACAGATGCGTCGTAAACGCGAGGAAAGAAAATTGGAGGCAGCAAAAGCTCAACAAAAAAATGTACCTGTCGACAAAATTTTAAACATCATATCAAGCACAGAAAACCAAGGAATGATAAACAATGTACTAGGGATAGGCAAAACTCTGGGATTAGCATCAAAATCAGATACGACCACATCAACCACAGCAGTAGCTTCGGTGTCTTCCATGTCTATGCCACCAGTAGTAGCACCGCAGGTATCAATGACTCCAATGATGCAACCTCCCGATATGACCCAAGCTTGGGCTCAGTGGGGACAATATACTGCACCAATGAGTACAGCCATGACAACTCCAATGGCCGCACCAATGGCTACACCCATGGCTTCCATGCCACCCTATGGAATGAATGTACCACCTCCGACGATGACTGCTCCACCCATAATGGCACCGACGGCACCTCCGGTGCAGCCGAATTTCTCGCAACCACCACCAGGATTCGTTACACCAAATTTTTCACAACCACCACCAGGATTTACGCAACCTCCGCCTTCAGTCAACACTAATCCACCACCTCCACCTGTATCACAGCCACCTCTGACTAGTACAACTAATCTAATGAGTCAACCACCTCCAAACTTTAATAAACTGCAGAAAATTGTTAATCAGCAAGGGCAATCCAGTACAAACAGTCAAATACAAGGACCTGACGGAGGCAATCAAAACAATAGAAATACAAGAAATCCATTTAACAATCGAGGAAATAGGAACGAAGGAAGCGGTAGTCAACATGACGACCAAGATAACTTCAAACAAGAAACGTTTGACGATGACTATACCAATTACGGCAATAAAGAAAATGATCGATTTAACAATAGGCAACAAAAACATCAGCAAAATCAGCCAAATCAGCCAAATCAACAAAATCAGCAGCAGAATCAGCAAACTCAGCCAAATCAACAGAATCAGCAGAATCAGCAAAATCAGCAAAATCAGCAAAATCAGCAAAATCAGCAAAATCAGCAAAATCAGCAAAATCAGCAAAATCAACAAAATCAACAAAATCAACAAAATCAACAAAATCATCAAGAAGAAATGCCACCAGAACTGAAAAGGCTCATGGATAAACGAAAAAATTTAGTTAATAATAATGCTTTCCAACCAAGCAATAGAGACTCGCCAAATGAAATGGGCTCTTTAAGTGACAATTTTAAAAAATTTGGAGGTGAAAAATTCAATCGAAATAATAATTTTGATTTAAGAGGTCCCGGTAACTTTGGTTCAAATGATGACTCGAATTTTGGAAATAGAGGTCCGAATAATTTTGGTAACAGAAGTTCAAATGATTTCGGAAACAGAGGTTCAAATGATTTCGGAAACAGAGCTTCAAATGACTTTGGCAACAGAGGTCCAAATGATTTTGGAAATAGAGGGTCTAATGATTTTGTCAATAGAGGATCTAATGATTTTGTTAATAGAGGACCTAATGATTTTGGTAATAGAGGACCCATTGACTTTGGTAATAGAGGATCCAATGACTTTAGTAACAGAGGCGCCGATAATTTTGGAAATAGAGATTCTAATGAATACGACGATGATGTTTCCAATGATTTCGACAACCAACAAGAGCCCAATGATTTGTGTAATCGAGGACCGAAAGATTTCGGTAACAGAGGACCAAATGACTTTAGAAACAGAGGCCCAAATGATTTTGGAAACAGAGGACCCAATGATTTTGGAAATAGAGGACCGAATGAATTTGGTAATAGAGGTCCAAATAATTTTGGAAATAGAGGACCTGGTGATTTTGACAACAAAGTACCTAACGATTTTGGAAGTCGAGGGCCAAATGATTGTGGAAAACGAGGACTAAATGATTTTGGAAACAGAGGGCCAAATGATTTCGGAAATAGAGGATCTAATGACTTCCGAAACAGAGGACCGAGTGACTTTGGAAACAGAGGTCCTGGAGATTTTGGAAACCGAGGTCCTGGGGATTTTGGAAACCGAGGGCCCGGAGAGTTTGGAGATAGAGGACCTAATAACTTTGGAAATAGAGGACCCAACGACTTTGGAAAGAGAGGACCCAATGAATTTGGAAATAGGGGACCCAATGAATTTGGAAATAGAGGACTCAATGAATTTGGAAATAGAGGACCCAATGATTTTGGAAACAGAGGACCCAACGATTTTGGAAACAGAGGACCCAACGATTTTGGAAATAAAGGACCCAATGATTTTGGAAATAGAGGACTCAACGATTTTGATAATCGAGGCCCTAATGATTTTGGAAACAGAGGTAATAGAGGTCCGAATGACTTCAGAAATCAAGGTCCTGGTAACTTTGGTAACAGAGGCCCTGGCGACTTTGGAAACAGAGGACCCACTGATTTTAATGATAATGATCCTTTTGACAACAGAGGTCCTAATAACTTTGATAATGATGACTCTAATGACTTTGGTAATAGAGATTTTAATGATTTCAATGATGGTCCCAATACCTTTGGTAACAGAGGGCCAGGCAATTTCGGCAATCGTGGCCGTGGCAATCAAGGACCAGACAATTTTAATAATCAAGGACCAGGTGATTTCCAAAAAAGTGGGAGTAATAAAAATGTCTTTTCTGACGGCCCAGATTTCCATAGCAACAAAGGTAATGCATTATTTGTTTCTTACATTCTAATGCATTTATTAATAAATGTTAGTTCATAATCTTATATTTTATTCGCAGAGCAATTTCAATTAAATGTTAATAAACCATTTGCCAAAGGAGGACCTATGGCTGATATTATTCATGATTCCAACGCTCAAGATGGATCGAGCTTCGTTGGTAAGGATGACATAGTACCGAGTAATAAAAAGTCAACCGAGGGAAGTTCAATCGTTGAACAGCCAAAAGAAGGAGTTGGTAGCGCTACTACTAACAATGAATCTGATAACCTGCCATTTATGGGCGCAGGAGATCCAAAGCCAAAAGATTTTAATGAACAGCCCTTGCCTGAACAATCAAACTTACCAAAAATAAGAACTCTTGAAGAACCACCTGTACCATCTTTCAATGATGATATGAATGAAGATCCGTTTCAAGATGATATTGCTCCATTTGGTGGTAATCAGTTTAATCGACCTCCTCCTCCCTTTGTACAACAAGGAAATTTCAATAAACCTGGATTTGGACCACCAAGCATTAAGCCTATTCCATCGTTGTTATCCTTAAAAATTGTACCTCCGCCTATGATGGCGCTTAAAGATCAATCTCAAGCACCTTTTAATCAAGAAGGACCTGGACCATTCAATCCAAATAGACCGCCATTTGGAGACAGTGGTCCTAAAGACAAGGATTTCAGTTCTGAACAATTTGGTCCAAACAAATCTTTCGGGCCAGATGGTTCTATAAATAAAGATAAAAACTTTGGTCCTGGCCCATATGGATCGAACAAACCATCATTTGGACCCGATGGACCTACAAGTAATGATAATTTTGGCCCTGGTCCATTTGGACCAAACAGACCTCCATTTGGAACCGACGGTCCCATGAATATAGATAGAAACTTTGGGCCTGGGTCATTCGGACCCATTAGACCACCTTTTGGCCAGGACGGCCCAATGAACAAAAACTTTGGACCTGGCCAATTTGGTCCTAATAATAAACCTTTTGGACCTAGTGGAATAATAGAAAATAGAGGTTTTGGCCCTGAATCAATTGGACCAAACAGACCTCCATTTGGTAAAGATTTACCTTCATTGGATAAGGAAAAACCTTCATTTGAGAAAGATAAACCTTCATTTAACAAAGAAAAAAGTCCACTTGATAAAGATCGAATGCCGTTTGATAATGATAGAACATCATTTGACAAAGATAAAACTCCATTCGATAAAGATGCATCTATATTTGGTAATGATCTACCTAAGGCCAGTAAAGATTTGCCTCCATTAAATAAAGATAAAATGGCATCTAGTAAAGATATACCACTAACAAACAATGATGCTAAACCAGAAGTTAATGCAGACACTAGTAATAATGAACCTGATTTGGAAGAGCCAATAGAAGAAGCTGCTAGTGCCGAAGATAATGAGTGTCTACCTGAAATTGATTTTGAAACTCCCATGGTTCCTCCAGCGATTGAGACGAATATAGATTTTACTGAAGATTCATTCGAACCAGTGGACACAACCGTTAGTCAGTTAGCTCCTGTGGAATTTGAAGAAAATTCATCTGATAAAACTATTATTAATGAAGAAAAACCGTCTGAAGAGGATAAAGTAAGCGAGAATGCAGAGAAACAAGTTACAGATGAACCTAAACTTACAGAAAGTAATTTAGAATCTGATGAGAAAGCTAAAGTTGCTGAAAACAAAGACACCGAAAATCGCAATCTTACACCTTCTGGTTCCTGTTTTGTTCCTCCGGAACCGTTCAGTCCCAATCAACATTTTGCAGAACCGAATGACGGGCCATTTGGTCTTAATAAATCTCACCCTAAAGAAGGTCCACGCTCATTTAGTCCGAATCGTTTCCAAGGGTCGAACGAAAAATTTGACCCAAATAAACATTTCGGAGGACCTAAAGATACACAATTTTCATCCGGTAAACCATTTTCCGATTTCAACGAAGGTCCGTTTGGACCAAACAAACCTTTGGGGGGGCCTAATGATAGACCTGGTCTACTTGGACCAAACAAACCTCTAGGAGGTCCTAATGATAGACCCGGTCTACTTGGACCAAATAAACCTTTAGGAGGGCCTAATGATAGACCTAGTCTACTTGGACCAAACAAACCTTTCGGTGGATTGCAAGATAAATCTGGTTCATTCGGTCCACATAAGCCATTCGAAGGACCCAATGATGGTCCATTAGGACCGAACAAACCATTCGGAGGACCCAATGACGGTCCATTTGGGCCGAATAAATTGTTTGACGTACCCAATGATGGCCCCTTTGGGCTTAACAAACCATACGGAGGACCAAATGATGGTCCATTTGGACCGAACAAACCGTTCGGAGGACCCAACGATGGCCTCTTTGGACATAAACCATATGGAGGCCCCAATGACGGTCCAAATAAACCATTTGGTGGCCCTAATGATGGTACCTTCGGATTAAACAAGCCTTTCGAAGGATCCAATGATGGTCCATTTGGGTCGAACAAACTGTACGGAGGACCTAATGATGGTCCCTTTGGTCCTAATAAACCGTATGGAGGATCTAATGACAGTCCCTTTGGTCCAAACAAACCAATAGGAGGTCTAAATGACGGTCCCTTTGGACCGAACAAGCCATTCGATGGACCCAATGATGGACCATTTGGGCCGAATAAACCATTCAGTGGACCTAATGACGGTTCCTTTGGCCCTAGCAAACCATATGGAGGACCCAGTGACGGTCCCTACGGACCAAATAAATCATTAGGAGGTCCGAATGAAGGTCCATTTGGACCAAATAAACCATTCGGTGGGCCCAAAGACGGCCCTTTTGTATCGAACAAACCTTTTTCTGGACCTAACGATGGCCCATTTGGTTCAGATAAAAATATGTTAAGTCCTAATAACGGTCATTTTGGTCCTAACAAACTTATTAGTGGACCGAACGACGGACCCTTTGGTCCAAAAAAACCTTTTGGTGGGCCCAGCGATGGTCATTTTGGGCTCAATAAGCCGTTTTCTGGGTCTAACGATAGCCCATTTGGTTCAGATAAACCTCTGTTAGGTCCAAATGACGGTCCCTTTGGACAAAACAAATCTTTTGGTGGCCACAATGATGGACCGTTTTGTCCAAACAAACCTTTTGGTGGGCCGAATGAGGGCCCGTTTGGAACAAACAAATCTTTTAGTGGACCTAACGACGGACCTTTTGGACCAAGCAAATCATATGGGGGGCCCAATGATGGACCGTTCGGACCGAGCAAGCCTAAACCTTTTGGTGGGCCGAATGACGGACCGTTCGGGCTAAACAAACCTTTCTCAGGACCACAAGATGGACTACCTGGGCCATTTGGTCCTAAAATGCCTTACACCGGTGATGGTTTATTAGGACCTTGTCCCAGTAGAGTTCCTTTCGGTCCTGTTGGTCCACCTGGCCCTTCGGGTCCTTCTGGACCTTCTGGACCTCCTGGTCCGCCTGGTCCACCTGGTCCATCTGGTCCGCCTGGTCCATCTAGTTCACACAACCGAAGTGGTCCTCCCTTCGACATGATGAGTGATCCTTTTGGTCCATCTACGCGAAAAGGTGATTTTGTGGGAGAACCGGAATTTCGCGTTGGTAAACAATTTAATTACAATCATGGTGGAAAGAAACCGGAGAGGGAATTTTTGACACCAGCGAGAATCATTGATTATGGGCATGAGAAGAAAATTGCGATTGACCCGGTAGATCTAGTCTCAATTTATGATTATGCGCACGGGAAAATAAAGCCCGACATGCGTGTTTTGATGAAAGATTTTAAGAACTGGGAAGAGAACGAGCAAAACTTGAAAGAATATCATGAAGAAATGATGAAGAGAAGCGAGAAGATTGGCAAAATTTGGACCACTAGCCCACCGCGACTACGCGAGAGATCAATCTGGAATGATCCATCACTGAAAGATATGACTGGTGACGTTGGAGATATTGCCATGGATGTCGACGATCGTTTGAAAGACCGCGATGAGCGTCGTGACAAAGACGAGCGTAGTCTTAGTATCTTAGACAGAAATCGTGATAGAGATCGCGACAAAGGACGTAATCGTGACAAAGATCGTGATGATCGATATTCAGATCGCAGCAGAAGTGAAAGGGATCGAGACGACAGGCATGATAGATATAGTGATCGCAATCGTGACAGGGACAAGGAAGATCGTTACAGAAGTGACCGTGACAAGGATAAAAGCCGTGACAGAGATAGAGACGACCGACACAAAGATCGAGATGACAGACACAAAGATCGTGAAGATCGAGATCGACACAAGGATAGACATGACAAAGACAGAGATGATAGGTATAAAAGTCGAAGAGATGATAAAGATAGAGATAGTCGCCATAAAGATAGAGATTCTAAAGATGATAAAGATAAGGACAAACGAAGCATTCGAGATAAACCAAGTGATCAGAAAGATGAGAAAAAAGAAGAACCTACCGATAAAATATCTAGTTCAGGTACTTTTGATGATAATTTGTTTAATTTAATTTCTCAAAAATTAACGATTTATAGTTTTCAATATCTATTTTTATTGCCAAATATCTTTGAATTGAAACGAGAAGAAATATTATGATATAAATTTTCGAAACAAATATTTTATTTGTTGTAACTATTATTTTTATTAATTATTTTTACCTCATTTAGCAGATAAAGGTAGTGAAGAAGATAAAGCAGGCAGCTCGAAAGATCCTGAAAAGATCGAGGACAGGTAAAAATCAAACAGAGTATATCATTACATAATTAGTATGAAGTTTTATATAGCTTCTGTATTACTTTTTAAATCTAATATAAATATTAAAAATTGATCCTTGAAAACAAGATAAAATTTAAAATTTGTTATGAATTCCAACTCTTATATTAGAAAACACTTAGTTCCCAAGTTTTTATAAAATATTTCCCCTTATTAAGAATTAATCCAAAAGAAATTGAAAATAATCCCTTTTAGATTAGATCTATAGAAATAAATATTTCAATAAGACTGTCTAATTTTGTTAGATCTAAGGAGAGCGTAACCAACTCTGACCCCATCGGTAATGCTCCAACTGAAAACACACCTGAACAAGAATTGAGGTACGCAACCAAAAAATTAGTTCTTTTGAAGCTCATAAAATCACTGACTTCAATCTTTTATAAAGAACTAATAATTTTCAATACACGGTATAACCTTGTCTGTTTTGTTATATAAAATAACAGTATCACTATTGATATTAATACTTACTGACCCCAAAAAAAGGTTTTATATTTAAGTTTCAAGAACTTTTCACGTGTTTATAATAACTATATTTCGTCAATCACTACATGAACTGCTGCACAAAAGTGATTGAAAAATCCTATTACAACTTTAGCTTTGATACTATCTACTATGTATGATTTCTTATTTTTGAATATCAATTATGTTAACATATTGCGATAAAAATCATTATTTAAACGATTGTGAGAGTCTGACAATGATTTTTTTTATTTTGAATGAGACATTGAGTGATACCTGTTTATTGGCAATTAATTTTGAACTGAGAATTCAGTTGGATTCCCAATTTACATATCTCCTTAAAATCTTTATTATGCATTTTCCAAAGCGCTAAAATTGTTGTATACTATTCAATAACAGTAATAGGTAATGTAAAAAAAATGTTGATTTATAGGATATTAACTTTCAAAAATTTCATTAGTTGATTTAAGGTCATAGGTAATGGCCACATTTGTAAAATGAATAAAATAAGGTACTTCACATATTTTATTAAGAAAATAAATAGATTCATTCACTTGAAAAGTAATCGCTAATGTTTTCTCTATGGAATAAGTGAAATGTTTTTTTAAATAAATTGACTAATATTTTTGCCAGTTTTCAAAAATTGAATTGTTTTGAATTTTGGAAAAATAACTTTTAGTCAAGTTAATTAACAAAAAAACATTTTACATATAACATTTATGGAAAGCAATATTTTAAATTATATTTTTAGATTATTAATGAATTCGTTTTGATAATGATAGGTATAATGTAACATGCTAAAAGTTTTACATTTTACTTTTTGGTTATTGGTCAAATATAAATATTATGTTATCATCGAAGAAACTTCTAACACTTAATTTTTAAAAAGTGGTTTCTTCAACAACTTTTTAATTTTTAGGTCCCTCTGTTGGAAATAAAAAGTAAATTTTTTAACATTATCAAAATATAATAGAAAATTTATTTAGATAGGTCACAATATCTATTATAACAGAGCAGTAATTTATCAATGAAGTATTTCAAAGTATTTTATTTTAATTAAATCAATTTATTTTATTTGAAACTGTTTTACTTGTTTGAATAAATCAAACTGCTTGAGAGATGATAAGTGAAAGATGATGAAAGACTAAGAAATTCTGAAAATTTTACATACATTGTTGGAAAACATTTTGTTTCTATCTACAGCACATGTTTCTTTTTATAACAAATAACGTTTTTCTTATAAATTTTTTTAACGAAGAATTCTTTAAATAATTTCATTTTTTTCCTATATTTTTTAAGGAGATATTATTTGATATTTTCGAAAATGTGTTTTTAGTTTAGTAGTTTAATTATACATTGATACTTTTTAAAAATCAAAGCTTATTTCAATATTTGACGTATTGGTGATTATTAAGAAAACTTAAGTTTTAACATACTAATCTCTATGTTCTTAATAATTTCCATGTTTAGACGTTAAAGTTTGAAATGTCTGTTTAAATATTTGAAAGTATATTCTAGACCAATTGAACATTTTCAGTAAGCTTAATAATATCTTTTTCTTGTTCTTAGTTTACCAAAATAAGCAAAAAATGAAATGTTTTAATCATGTTCAATATACATTTAATTGGTCGAATTTATTTTAAAACATAGTAGCGCATAAAAAAATTAATAGTTTCCATTGACTTAAAGTTTTAATAGTTGAATTTCCATGACGTTCAGACGATCGTTCATTATTTCTTGTTTGTTAGATTATGAATTGAACTGTGTTGTAAGAATAACTATTACAAATACATTAAAAATGTTTAAATCCCTGACCCTGTGAAACCTAAAATAAGAAACTAAATTTTTACGATGTGCCTTTCAAGAAACCCAAACCGAATTTCGAGAAAATTTATATTTTAGTGAATTTTATAATTTGAAAATGAATTATGCTAGCGTTTCTAGCCACTTTTGAAATAAAGAATTTTAAGCTTGTGTGCATCTTAGACGTATCTATTAATTACTGTTCCCTCGAAATATTTTTTAACACTCAACTTTAAAATTACAACTGGTTATAATTTTAAGGTTTTTGCGTTAAAAAAATATATAACTGATGATTATCAAATAGCTTCTCATTTTATATTATAAAAGTACCATTTGAAATAAGTTATAGATAAAATAATGTTAATGTTTCCTGTCCCACTTCCTACGTCTTTTATTTGCTTTTTTAATTGAAATATATGTACAAAATATATCAGGCGGAACTATAATTTAAATATTCTTATAAGAGGATGTAGAAGTATGATTTTATCATAAGCATTCGAGTTTCATATCTATATCATTGTTTTTGCTTTACAAGAAAAGATTAATGATTGAATGAATGATCTGATATAAACTTTTCCTATATAATTTTATTAATCATTTTGAAAATTTTATAAAATTCCCAATATCATTTATTAATCGAAGTTTTAGAACCCCAACATTAATTTCTTAAACCAAATTCAGTTATTTTTTCAAGAAAATCAAATAATGATTTAGATATGATATTTATGATCCTTGTTAATTCATTTTATACTACTACACCTTAATAATATTATAATTGAGCATTTATTTTTATGCTCAATTATGATATTCTTTGATTTTTAAAGTATCCGACCTTTTTTGTTTAGCTGAAGTTTTAAATATATTTCCTGGATTAGGTGAATACTTTCCGACTCGTGTTGTTTTCCATGCTTACCGAAGTGGATAGGGGAAAAAAATAAAAAATGCTGATTATATATATATATATATCTCATCGGGAAATTATTTTAAATATTTTACATAGGTTGGAATAATACATAATCATTTATTCAGATACAGAATTTCATGTAAATTTTTGTGTGTATTTGATAAAAATCAAATATTACATTAAAAATTTTCTAGGTGATGAAAGGAAAATATGGAGGAAGGCTGAAAATGAATTCTGAAGATGTTTCTTAGTGGCTTTGTTGGCGATAGTCAATAGAAGTGTTAGACATTTACAATATTCATAACCCCTTATAAAAAACCAAGATGCGAATTTCATTTAGAATTATCAATATCACTAAGATATTTTTATGATTTCCTAATTTCGTTTTTGGGTTTCGAAATGGCATACAAAAAACGACACAGACGCAATTCACTTTTATCTGATACTTATTGTAATATCGTTGTTCTCTTCATCAATATTTAATTTTATAAAGTTCCCATAGCAATGTGATTTCTGTAAGTTCACCTGTAATAACATTATTTTATTTAATCATATTACTGTTATTCAATACTCATCACGATCATTGCCCTTCCTTCTACTAGAAAATCAAAAGTTAATTAGGAATAAATGTATACTTTTTGAAAAATACTAGCAAATAATTACTTTATATGAAAAAGTATTAGAATAACTATCACTTGCAACGCAAAATTTTGCGAATAATAATGATGTTTGATCCCTCCATAAAACTCTGATAAATTAATAACTACATAAATTTTTTTAGCAAATTAAAGTATCCTTTTTTTGTTAAAAGATTTCTTTCTGACACAAAATTTTTATTCGTTCTACAATATAAGAATCTTAACTGTATTAATTAATTTAATTTTTTAAAGCAGTAAACATCTGTTTTGATAAATATTTACAAATTCGAAGTTTATCGCTTTAAAAAATTAAGTTAATAAATACAATCGAGAACTATTCAATTTACTGATATGAAAAATCTCATTGATAACCGTTTCGTTATTGCGAAATATTTAGAAAAATTTTACGTATTCTCCTGGCAATGATTTTTACAAAAAAGAAATTTGTATAAAACCGGTGTCCTTGACTTTAGTTTATTTAAAGTAGTTTTATTAATTGAGTTACGTAGCTTCCATACATGGATAATAATCAAAATTATCTCTGAAACAATGCGAATAGGATTTCTACTCTCCATTGCATTTTAATAGCTCAAATCAATCATATTTAGATTTTCTATGCAAATAGCAACCTCACAACGAACACACTTTTCCGTTAAACCTATTTTTTATGTCACTACTATCAGAATTCTCTAATAGCAATTTAATAAAGATATATTATATTTTGCAAAAAATTATTATAGAAATCTATACCATTACATTTTTATCTATAAAATTACAATTTTTTTACAATAATATAGATTTTAATGGTTTTTCGCTTTTTTAATGACGAACTTATGATTGCGAAATATTCACATTTTATTCAATTTATAGCCAGTCAGAAGTTAAGACAAATAATGATGGTCCCCCAAAAATTATGGAACTACCGAAGACTCCAAATCTTACAATGGTCGACGATCTGCTATGTCCTCCCGGTCGGTTGACGAGGCCACCCAAGATTGCAATTATCCTGAGAGGACCACCTGGCAGTGGAAAGTCTTTCGTAGCTAAGCTCATCAAGGTAATGAACACATATTTACATAATTTATTAATGCGTATTTCCAGTTCAAAACATCTAAGACATTACTGTCTCTTCATATTAGGATAAAGAAGTTGCGCAAGGAGGTTCAGCTCCAAGGATGCTGAGTATCGATGACTACTTTCTTGTTGAAAAGGATCAGAATCCTGGAGATGATAAAAAAGACGGAGGAGATGTAAGCATACTATCGTCACTTCTACATTTTAGTTTTTGTACTTATTCTATTTTCGCAACTTACAGGAAATGGAGTATCGATTCGAAGAAGCGATGGAGCCTGAATACTTTAGCCACTTGGTTAAAGCATTTAAGAAAAATGTTACAGATGGCTTCTTCAATTTTATTATACTTGACAGCATCAACGAAAAGATTTCAGATTATGAAGAAATGTGGAGTTTTGCAAAAACGAAAGGCTTTAAAGTTTATATTTGCGAGATGGAAATGGATGCTCAAGTATGCATAAAGCGTAACATTCACAAGCGTTCTGAAGACGAGATTAATAGAATTGTAGATTACTTCGAACCATCGCCAAGCCACCATCATAAATTGGATGTATCATCATTACTTCAAGAACAGGCGATTGAAGATGTAAACGTCAATATGTTTTTTTTTTTTTTTTTTTTTTTTTTTTTCAATAAAATTTGAACATTGACTATAATTTATTTTTTCATTTCTATAGGTTGAAATGGAAGATGTTCAAAATGCACCAAATGAAGATACAAAAGAAAAAGAAGGCGAAACTCTAAAAGAAGCAGATAAACTCGAGAAATCTAACGAAGATACTGAGGAAAACAAAGAAGATGGAGATTCGACGGTAGTTTTATAAATTTTCGTATATTACTAAATTCTTCAATTAAATTAGGTTTATATGATTTTGTAACATGTTAAATTCCGATCAATCATTATGTAACTCAAGTTTATATTTTTTGCATTGCAGAAAGTTAGTAAATGGGAGAGAATGGAAGCAGAAGACAAACTTGGTACTTTGTCAAATTATACGACTCATTTTTGTTGAATTTTAAGATACTTAACGCAAATTTTGTTTAAAAATAGATCGCCTCGATGGATTAAAACGAAAATCCGAACATAAGCCGCAAACAATGGAAGAATTTTTACAAGTTCCTGACTACTACAACGTAGAAGACAATTCTGGAAAGAAACGCGTAAGTGAATCATTTTATTAGTTCAATTGTTTTCATTGAAAAATTAAAAATTTCAAGAAAATTTTATTATCTTTTCTCTAATATTGATTAATTTTATTGTTTTTGAACAATAAAACAACAGTTGGATTTATATCACTGCCATTAATTAACAATTATTAAGTTAATTTAAAAATGTGCGTATTTATTCTCAGAAGTCAGAAAATATAATTGCTCTACAAAGTTTTAATCATTAACTACTATGATCAAACTAAACTAATTATTTTTTTAGTATAAAACAATTTTAATTAAAAATAAGTCTTAAAGTAAATGAAATTCGTATATACAGGTGAGGTGGGCTGACCTAGAAGAGAGAAAGCAGCAAGATAAAATGCGAGCTGTTGGATTTGTCGTCGGTCACACGAACTGGGATCGTATGCTGGACCCATCTTACGGTAGCAGAGCATTAACACGCACAAAGTATATATGACCCAGGTTTAATCCACCTTTTAATCGTGGACGATTTAATCGTCGTTAGGCAAGAAAGAAAAGCAGCACTCGTCCAGAGTTCTCTTTTCTAAACAATGGGAGATTGACTGACAATTCATGATAAATTTGTCACTCTATCTCTTGTTGAACTTTAAATGAATCAATGTTTGTCTTTGCTGCACGGTGCGCAAGAAAATCGTTTTTATTTTTTCGTTCAAGGTAATTACGAATCGTACGTTTACAAAATTTCGATTCTTTACCGATTTTCATGATATTACACTTTTATTATGACTTGTAATTTGATGGAGAATAATTTTTTTATATATATATATATATATATATATATATATATATAAGGGAGTATGTAAGATACATTTCGTGTTCTTTGACCCTTAATAGACTAGAAAACATCGTGATACACAAGATGTACAATCCCATAAGGAGAAAGTATATGCTTACTTTTCATTCCCAGTTTTGCTATCTCCTCTTACGATTCATTTTGTACATAACTACGAGTAAAAAAGAAAAATGTTTGAAAACTAAAAACGTGTGCATCGGTGCCATCGTTTATGCCCCTTGCGTTATTTTTTACTTCACTTTTAGAGACGTAAGAACGAGATTTTTATGCGTGGCTATCAATTATAATTGTTACTTATAATAATAATAATGCTTAGGTCAATATGATACCAAACCATTTGTAAAATAATCATTGCTAATGCAAAAAATAAAGATATGCACCGATATGAATTTGTTAGTAGTGTTTACAATGAATCCATACAACAGTCGCCTTTTGCCGTTCTTTTTTTATTAGGGACGTAGGAACGTATGTATATTTTCCTTTTTGCAGTAGTAGTGCGAAGGGCATTGATTTTGAAAACCGAGTTCAATCGCCCTTTGAAATTCTTGCATTATATTTTTGTATGAATCACCAGTCTGCAACGACCTGCAACAGAATTGTTATTACCAAGGACTTTGAAGCAGAAAACAGTTACCAACGTGCATCAGTGCTAATGTTAAAGTTATTTTTTCAACAATTTGAATTCTAATCATCTTCTATAAATCGCTCATCAATCACGCCAATTGTACTGGAAAAGTGTTATTTAAATATATCAATAGAAATCAGTGCACATTAAGAAAAATTTTATCGCGGAAATATCGAATCAGTTTTGACTACTAAATCAATAATTATTGTCGCGAAAATTTAACGTCATAGTGCAGTGTTTCAAAATTAGACAACGTACAGAGGCATAAACTTCATCAATTGGAATACCACGTCTGCAGCTCCGAGATACCCCTTCGCAATTTGAGGAACTTCACATGCTGCTCGATACAAGCAAGTATCACCAATAAAATATCCTAGCGCTAAGGCTGCTTCTCCTCCGGATAGAATTTTGTCTAAGGAATAAATGACATAAATTATTATTTGTAACTATTTCTATGTAAATATGATATTGATTAAAGAAAAGTAAGTGTAATTAATGTATTTAAAGTGTAAAAACGTATTTGATTAGATTCTTAAGATAAATCGTTTAAATATATTTTTTAATATTCTTTTAAGTTTTCTATTTCAGGTCATACTGTTCAACATACTGTCTGGCGGCTCTCCACGACCTATAAATGTATGATTGCCAATATATCCAGCACTGTACACAATTGCCTTCAAGACTAGGAGTAAGAGAAGATTGGATAGATTTATGTTCAGTATCTGAAAAGCATCATAATTTACTGATGTTCGTAATGTTACTGAGGTAGATTTTGAATAAGATTAAATTTTTTTAATTAATAATTATTAAATGAAGTAATTTCTTTAAAATTTTTTTGAATCATAAATTTTATTTATCATATAGACAATCGTTTACTGTATTTTGAAATGTATTAAGGGAATAATTATAAATAATGGATCAATATAAAAATTAAACATGATATTTAAAATAAAGCAAAGATAAAAAAGTCTACCTCATTTAACAAACTTTTAAATACATACATATAACATACCTGACTAGAGCCAGATGATCCTCGAATAAGTTCTGTTGCCATATCAGATAAAACTGAATGAGACTCTCTTGTTTCTGGTGCTTCATTATCAGAGTAAACTATAGTACTATCTCGGCGAAGTGATTGTGTATTAGATACAAGCAATACAAGAAGAAAAATCAGTGGTGTTATTATCATTTCAACGCATATAATAATTAGAATATTATGAATTGTTATTTTCTAAATAGTGTATTAATAAAAAATTACGAAATTTGAGTTGTGGTATTGATATTCAATATGACGCTCACTCAAAGACTAAACCATAGTTATCCTTGCGTCGTTTTTATAATCCAAGTGCACCTCGTACGCGCTATCGGCAAAGCGTAACATAAATTTCTTCCATTGAAACAGTTCGCCAGGATTTATGTCAACAGACTTGACTTGGCTCGTTTTCCAAAAGGCTGCAACAGAAAATCACCAGAGAAAGCTACATTATTATTTTTAAGGACTTTTACTAGCGCGCTTACTAAATAAAACGATTTAGAAGTTTGTACTTCTGGAAATTTGTTTACTTTGATATTGTTTATCGAACCCAAGACTCACTTAAAATTTAGAATTGAGATACTTTCTAACAAACATTTAGATTATGATGCTTTAAGTACACCTCTATGTTTTCTACGTCTCTGGATTTCTTCTCTTTTTACTACCCATTAAACCACTTTGGACGAAAGGGTCATAGTTAAGAGAGCTTAAAGGAATTTAGAAACTCAAGAGAAAGTGTTATGACATGTATTCCCATACCAACAATGATATTGTAATTATCTGATGAAACATAGTTTATTAACATAGTTTGTTTTTAAACATAGTTTAAATGATTAATTATTCAAGTTCTATGTCTTTCTTAATTTAAACATAAATTTTGATGCTTTAAGTAACACCACGAAGAATAGCTTAAAATGTTATAGTTGGTTTAATTTTTAAATCATTACTTTATTGTTTTATTTTGACTTACTATTTTTGAAAAAATGTAAATCTTAATAAAAAATGAAAAGAATATGAAAACTTCTAGGGAAATTTTATTATATGTACCCTAATTGAAATAATGATAATTTATATTTATATTTTGATAAATAAGATTATGGTCAATTGTTTAATCACACGGGGATTGGTAGATTTTTCATTAAAAAAAACTAATAAATAATTCAACAGACTAACGTCGTTGAATGTTACGGAAATATTTTTTTTATTGTTACTCGGAAATTTGTTGCAGTTTTCCCGTAATATATAAAATCTTTTAAATGGATTATAAAAAAGATTACAGTTTTTAGAATTGAACAAGTATCGTAAATTTCTAACCGAGTACGATATATTTTTTTTTCTCAATTTAAACGGTTCGAGTATTGTGTAATTTCTGTCTTTCACAATTTTTTTTGTTCCGCTGTAGCACAATTTATTTCTAAAAATTATCGGCTGAAACAAGTTTAAATGATTACTGATTGATGGTCTATTTAGAAAAAAAACTGTGATTAACACTTTCGTGTTGATGTAGTTGTAGCAGTTTGCAAACTACAATGCAGTTACCCTGGTTTTTCAAAATCAAACCATTTGTTTTGCAATATTTTGGTGTTGCTCTTTTGCATTTCTCCAATGCGTTTATGAGTGATGAAGATTATGTATATTACGACAATATGTCATCGACATTTGGTATTTAACGGCTTGTTGAAATAATTGTTATTTATTATTATCTATGATGTCTCACCTATTCTTTATGAAATCATTTTAGGCATAACTGGAGTTAACAACGTGGAATGAGACTCAATATGCGACGTAATAACAAAAATTTACCATCAAATCATGGAAGATCGTACAAAAAGTATTAATAGTTATGTAGATATGTATTGATCTACCGATTCTGTCGCTATCAGAAGTATATGGTTACATGCATTCGGTAAGTACTTGCGAGGCGTCGCATATTTAACATTGAATGATCATGTTTCGTCTATTTTTATATTTAACAAATATCGTTCATTGCAATTTTTTGATTTTATTATAATCGATATTGCTTAAATCAACAAAAAAATCCTGAGTACTATCTATTCCGTACACACACATATGTACGCACACACACACACAAGTAAGCGATTCATTATACATATCAATCTTAAAAAAAACTTATATTTATGTTTTAAAATTCAGTAATTTAAACATTTTACTGTTTTCTAAATTTCACCGGCATACTAAAAATAAGCAAATAAACATATACAAAGTGTGTATAGGAATGCCTTCTTTTTACTGGCATGTAACTTAGAATTGTAAATATTCCACCTTCATTAGCCAATCGTAAGTTTAATAACGACCTACTCAATATAGCTGCCCCAAGAGCCAATATGTTCGCGCCCTGAATTCTAGTTCTCTTGGTTGAATGTAATAAATGGATTTTATGAATTAATCAAATAGATCAATCTTCTTGGTGAAACACATGTTATCTTAATATAAAGTTCGTTTTTATAATTTGATTACAAATTAAAACAGATTGTTTAATCGAATTATGAAAAAACGTAATGCTTAGTATATTGGACGACAAATGCATTTGTCTTAAAATTTTTCTCAAATGATTTTCCATGGTATTAGGAACACAAATGTGTCTAATAAATCGTTACAACAATATTTACAGTACAGAAAATAGGGTAAATTTATTGTGGCTTCTTGTAATGGTTTGTTTTAGTAAAAGATAATTGGTACTTGAAAAGAATATCATCGATCAATTTTCAATTCAAGATCAAAAATAATTCATATCGCAGAAATCTATACAATCGATTCTATAGAGAAAAAAAATAAAACGCATTTTATTATGATGATAATGACGATTGTTCTCATTTAATGCGTTATTAATATTGATAATAAGGACATGTGATCGGTTTTCTTGGCATTTTTTAGTTACGATGCTGATTTGAAACATATATATCCCTCTAAGTGTTTTTGTGAAAATAAGAATTTTTTTCATTTTTTAACTAACATTTGTAACACCTACTGATTTGGTTAAATATAACTTTCAACTAATAATAATTTTTGCTAAATAAATTCAAAATAACGATCATACAATTTTATAGAAATGTTTTTACTCTGCGTTTTATATTTTACATTTTTTTAATTTGTTCAATTTTGAAAGTAAAGAACAAATTTAACTTCATTTTACTAGTGTGGTCAGATATTGAAGAATTCATATATGTTTTTAGCCTTTTAAAATTGAGAAAAAAATTAAAATTTCAATTGCTCAGCTTTTACTCCTCAAATTACAATTTAAGAAAATAAAATTTTTAATAATTTTTATGTATAATTATATGGGCAATAATACGCACACTAAGTCAGTGATCTAACATCAAAATAATTCAGATTGATCCCTAGATATGAATATTAATTACTAACCTCTACACAGAAGTTAAGCTTCAACTAAAAAAAAAATATTTTTTTCATTTATAAACATAAAAAATATCTCAAAGTTGTTATGACTAAACACGTGAAAGATGGTAGTAATTTTGATTTTTCAAAGTGTATTAATAAATTTCTTTTAATGCTACATGGATCGAGCCAAAATTATTTCCTATTACTTTAATCAAAATAAATTATGTGTCTATATTAAGAAGTTGGAAATTATAAACAAACATGTAAAAATAAAGCAAATTGAATTGTTAGACATAGCTGATGTTTCTATTTAACTAAAAGAGTGGAAATGGAATTTTAGTATATTATGATACAAGAACAGGAAAATAGATTGTTGTCTCGTATGGCGTTTACGAACGAAGCGAGGACGACACACGAAAAACACGAGACGAGAAACTCTTTCCCAAACATGTGTCGTAGCGACGCGTGAAAAATGCGATTTTCAATGCACGCTTTTTGCCGAGCAAATGAGAAAAACGCACTTTGCGCACAGAGTGTCGAAAAAGTGCATGAAGATACAAATGGAAAAAAGATTCCTGTCCCGCGTGACGTTTACGCCCGAGCGAAGCGAGGGTGGAATCATACACGAGAATCTCTTTCCTGAACATGTATAGTATTTTTCGATACGACGTGTGGAAAGCTCATTTTTGAACGCGTTTTTGGCCGAGCGAGCGCCGCATAGTATCGAAAAATTAATTCCATATCCTAATAGTGGAAATTAAAAATTTTATTGAACTTGAATATAAAATATTAAATAGTTATAAAATTATCTATTTTTGAAAGTTAAATGCACTTTAACTTTATGAGCAAACTGTTGAATATATTTAATAGAGTTATTTTTAACTATCATGGAACGTTTAATGAAGTCTTATTTAATCCTGAAGGAAGCATAATTTGGTTATAGAAAATTAATTACAAGGATTTCACAGATTTTACTACATTTGTCATGTTTTGTGATACTTTAGGATTTTTTAAAAGATTTTAGAATCATTAAAACTTTATTAACAGCATTTTCAAATGATTTAACGTAACTGCGTATTTATTTACTAACATTCAACATCGTCTACTATAACATATTCCAAATCTTGGGATATTTAATGTACAATTTATT